AACAGGACTAGGAATCCAAAGTCATGCAGGCTAATACTACGTTTTTAGAGAACTATTGTAGCAGACACTTGCAAATCTGAATGCATGCCTCTCTCTTTCTCCCTCTCCCTCTCTCTCTCGCTTTCTTTCTCTCTCCCTCTCTCTTTCTCTCTCTCTTCTCTCTCTTTCTCTCTCCCTCCCTCCCTCTCTCTCTCTTCTCTCTCTTTCTCTCTCCCTCTCTCTCCCCCCTCTCTCTTTCCTTCTCTTTCTTTCTCTCTTTCTCTCTCTCCCTCTTTCTCTCTCTTCTCTCTCTCTCCCTCTCTTTCCCTCTCTCCCCCTCTCCCTTTCCTTCTCTCTCTCTCTCTTTCTTTCTTTCTTTCTCTCCCTCTCCTTGTCTATTTCTCTCTCTTTTCTCTCTTTCTCTCTCTCTTCTCTCTCTCTTTTGCTCTCCCTCTCTCTCTCCCCCCTCTCTCTTTCCTTCTCTCTTTCTCCCTCTCCCACTTTCTCTCATTCTCTCTCTCTCTTTCTCTCTCTCTCTCTCCCTCTCTCTCTCTTTCCTTCTCTCTCTTTCTCTCTCTCCTCCCTCTCCCCCTCTTTTTCTCTCCCCCTCCCTCCCTCCCATTATCTTAATGAGAGCTAGATATGGTCTTGTCTGAAATAGCAATAGCATTTAGGCTTTACAGCACTCTCTGGCCAGTTTACAATGTACAAGCATTATTTGCATGTTGCCCCCAACAATCTGGGTCCTCATTTTATCAACAGGATAGAAGGCTGAGTCAACCTTGAGCTGGTCAGGATTGAACTCCAAGCTGTGGCCAAAGCTTGCCTGTAATGCTACACTTTAACTACTGCATCACCAGGGCTCACACATGTTTTCTTAGGTTACAGTTCTGGCCCTGACTCAGATTAATTTTTTTAAATCTGACTCCTTCCTTGGGAATTGCTGTTTCTTCAGTTCTTCAAGGCTTTTCCCTCTGTCCACTAGGTTGGCAAAGTAATGTTCATAGCAAGACCTAATAGTACCAGATAGTTTGGGATCAATTATGCAAAAAAATTCCCTCCTGGTCTTTTAAAATATCGGTATGCATTCACACACCGGTGCATTCACACATGAAAAAGCATGTCTTTCTATTTGTCCTGAACCCAAAACCAGCCGTTTCTAATTGGGAGAGTAAATGGACGTGTTAAAAGAGAGAAGAAAGAGAGGAAGGATTATATGTTCACACTACATCATTCTTTACTTTCTAACTTTCTGCAAAATTTGCTTCTGGGTGCAATTCAAGGGGTTGGTAAACACCTTTAGAGCCCTTCAGGACATAAATCCAGGTTACTTAAGGGAGCATCTCATCCAGGGGTGAAATCCAGCAGGTTCCGACAGGTTCTGGAGAAGCGGTAGCAGAAGTTTTGAGTAGTTTGGAGAACTGGCAAATACCATCTCTGGCTGGCCGCAGAGTGGGGTGGGAATGGAGAATTTGCAATATCCTTCCCCCAAGAGTGGGGAGAGAATGGGGATTTTGCAGTATCCTTCCCCTGCCACGGCCACCAAGCCACACCACGTCCACCAAGCCATGCCCACAGAACCAGTGGTAAAAAAAATTGGATTTCATCACTGATCTCATCCCAATGGGATTGGCCCACCCCACCCGTGCTGACAGAGGAGGTGTACTGCGAATCCCCTTGGCCAGAGAATTCCAGTTGGTGAGGTCCAGGAGAAGAGCCTTCTCTGCCATTGCATCTGCCCTCTGGAACGGGGGTCTCCAACCTTGGCAACTTTAAGACTTGTGGACTTCAACTCCCAGAGTTCCACAGACAGCTGAGGGACTCTGGGAGTTGAAGTCCACAAGTCTTAAAGTTGCCAAAGTTGGAGACCCCTGCTCTGGAACATTGTGTGCCCCCCCCCCACCTGAGTGAAGTCCATTCCATCCCTCCTGACCTTCCATACTAGTCTAAAGATCTGACTCTGCCAGTTGGCTTGGTGCTCCAATGGAGGGTTTTTTGTTTTTTTTTAAATTTGATTTATATGCCGCCCTGAGCCGGCGACTCAGGGCGGCTTACAATGCACTAAGCAATAACCTTCATCCTTTTGTATATTTTTATACAAAGTCAGCTTATTGCCCCCACAAACTGGGTCCTCAATTTACCTACCTTAGAAAGGATGGAAGGCTGAGACAACCTTGAGCCTTGGCGAGATTCGAACCTGCAGTAATTGCAGGTAGCTGGTCTTAATAACAGGGTGCTTTAAACCACTGTACTACCAAGGCTCCTTGGTAGTTTAACAAGGGTTTAACAAGGGGTGGTGGTTTATAGATTAATAACAGATCCCCCCCCCCATTATCCTATTCTTTCCCCCCGCCCCCCCATCCTACTTCCTCCCTTCCCATCTTTTAGCTGAGATGCAGCATTTGGGTCTTTATAATATTTTACTTACACCTTTTAGGTTTGGTATATAGTTCATGCAATCTTGAGATTGTAAGTCACTCAGAGTTACCCTGTGGCAAGAAGGGCAGATAATAAATTTTACCAAATAAATGAATAAAAAATTCTCTTCCCCCCCACCTCCATTTTTTTTTTCATTCCAGCCAAATTTGAAGAGATCTTGCCATCCCTTAACAAAGAGATTATATGTAGCCATTGTTAAGCATGTAAACTTACATTACTGTAAATGCGCAGCAACTTTAATAAATTGACTATTAAAGCAGCCGTATCTATCTTCAGGTTCTCATTTTTCAGGAGCCTGGGGGAGGAATATGGCTGTTTTAAAGAGGTGCTGTAATGGAATACCGCTTTTGAATCATTCTGAATAGCCTGGTTTATTTTATTTCTTTATATATTCAGATTAATGCTACTCCCTGCCACCTCCCAGCACTCAGCAACAATTATGCTACAACAGGGTGTAAGGCTTGCAAATTACATTATGCATTTTTCACTGAACAGCTGCGAAGGAGCTGGAGTGAGCCCAACCCATTTTAATTCTAACTTCTAAATTGCTCAACTCTTACAGTCTGAAAGCTGGGGGGAAAACAGGGTTGGGATAATGGATCGTACAATGGCTGGCAATCTTCGGCAAAATGTTTGCTCATGGCCACTGAGATCATTTCATGATACACTGAACCTACGAGCCGTTTGTTGAGCTGGCGGCTATCGAAATCTAATAAATCAACCTGCAGAGTTTTGGGGGTGTCCCCAGAATCTGGCCAAAAAAAAGTCAGGAGAGCCACAATGGGGAAGTCTGTCCATTTTTGTGTAACGACACACACACAAAAAGTCAAAGCAGAGCTTCGACTACATCATCTCAACTTTTGCATGTTGCAAATGTTCCTACGTAACTTAAAAGTTGTCCTAACAGAGAGATTTTCTCTGCTCTGCTTTTCCTGTGCTTGAAAGTTGGACGTGGCTAAAAATAAAAAGTCATCTGGGATACTGATGATTGCTATGAAGAATATTGGGAGGCATCGCTTTACATCATCTTTTCTTCCTTTTTTCTTTTTCTTTTTCAACTCTTTGCTTTCTTTCTTTTTATTTATTTATTTATTTCCTTACTTTATATTGGCTTGCATTAGTTTTTATCTTTTTGTTTAAAAGTTTTAATGATGATAGATAAGACAGATGGAAGAGAGAGAGAGAGAGAGAGAGAGAGAGAGAGAGATGATAGAGATAGATAGATAGATAGATAGATAGATAGATAGATAGATAGATAGATAGATGAGAGGGAGGGAGGGAGGGAGGGAGGGAGAGAGAGAGAGAGAGATGATGATGGATGGATGTTGGCTGGCAAAAGACAACTTCACTTTATCATAAGTATCAGTTACCATGCGTGTCAGTTTCACAAAGCTTGGCTGGTAATTTTCTGAGGGGTCCTTGGGGCTCTTTGAGCTTGGTTGTTTCCTTGCAGATGTTTCATCACCCAAACTAGGTAACATCATCAGTCCTAGCCATTGCTAGCACAGTGCTAGTTACTAGCATTGATGATATTACCAGGTTTGGGTAGTAAAACATCTGCAAGAAAACAACGACGTTCAGATAGCACCAATATCTGAGCTACAAATATTCTTCTTTATTAGTAATTTTCTGTCCACTGGAAATCTAGAAAGCCTTTTATTTTTGGTGGTGTTTGCAAAGGGGATTTTTTTTTTTTTTGCCTCTGCTGAGATGTGGGCCAATTACAAGAGCCAATTAATTCCATCACCTCCTTCTTCTACTCCTGCTCATTTCCTCTCTTTCCTTCAACATAATCCACTTACTTTTGGGGGATCCAAGTTTTCACACATAGCAAGTGTCCACTTTGCTTTCTCCCACCCTACTGTTGTGGCCCGCCAGCGGCCTGCACGTATCGTGGCTGATCCTGACGAGGAGGAGGCTGGTGTGGTGTCGCGCCAGCAGCCTGAGCAGCCGGTGCTCGCTTCAGACAGCGAGGAGGCTGAAGAGGATGTGGTGCCAGAGGCAGAGACTCAGCCAGGGCCTTCAGAACCTCCAGAGGCTCCTTCAAGTGGAGAGAGTGAAGTGGAGGAGCCTTTTCTCAATGCTCGAGCACGCAGGGCTGCCAAAAGGCAGGAGTGGCTACTCAGGAGGAGGAGGTCTCCTCGAGAGTAAGGTTTGAGGATAATTGGCCACTCCCTTAGCTTATTTAAGTCGCACACAGTTAGTAATTTCTTGCTGGAAACAATGTGTAATTATTACAGAGCATTTTGGAGAGTGAGTGTCTTATCGTATCTTGTTTTCTGGGCTGGTTGCCATCCTTTGCCGGACTTTGTTTATTCTTGGTATTTTATAACTTTGATAACGACCGTTGGTATGTGTCACAATCCTTGGGAATCCGGAGCTGGGGCAGAACACCTACACAAGACAAAGCATGCAGAGAAGTCTCACCTGGGCAATCTAGACTTCCGTTACACCCTTTTCAAACACTGAAGGATTAACCTGGTCTGCCTGGGGCTGTGTGAACGGGGTCAGATGAAGGCTGAGTCCTTAGGGGACTTGCTAGAAAATGCTAATCATGCCTGGTTCGATTGTTTTCCATCCAGCACGCTCACTATCTCCAACATTGGCCAGACGGATGAGGCCATCTACCAGTGCATCGCTGAGAACAGCGCGGGCTCCACCCAAGCCAGTGCCCGCTTGACGGTGCTGTGGGCCGACCGACTTCCGGGTCCTCCCCAAGAAGTCAAAGCAGCTTCCGTCTCGGCTACCACCGTCCAACTGCTGTGGAGCGAGCCGTTGCAAAACACCAAGGAGATTATCGGCTACGTCCTGCACATAAGAAAAGCAGCAGGTAGGAGTGGCTGAGAAGGGCTGAAGACTGCTAATATTTGCGCTATACAGAGAATCTCTTTTCTTACGCTTCTGACTAGCGGTTCTCAAGCAGAGGGTTGGCAGTTAATTGGAGATGGGGTTATGGGAGACCTGCTCGAGGGTGGAGGGACATTGATGGAATGATGAGGGACTCAAGGAAGGTGCAACTGTCCTATTTTGCATTGCACCATCTAGCAGTCAGCATGCCCCTGCATTTCCGTAGGGTAGGGTAGCGTACAGAATAGAATGGTTTGGAATGGAACAGAATGGAATGGAACGGAACGGAATGGAACAGAGTAGAATATAGTTGAATATAGTAAAGAATGGAATGGAATGGAATGGAATGGAATGGAATGGAATGGAATGGAATGGAATAAAAATAGAGTAGAGTAGAGTAGAGTAGAGTAGAGTAGAGTAGAGTAGAGTAGAGTAGAATACGGAATGGAACGGAACAGAACGGGACAGGACAGGACAGAATAGAATAGAATATGGAATACAGTAGAGTAGAGTAGAGTTGAGTAGAGTAGAGTAGAATATGGATTGGGACGGGACGGGACGGGACGGGACGGACAGAATGGAACGGAACGGAACAGAACAGAACAGAACAGAACAGAACAGAACAGAACAGAACAGAACAGAACAGAACAGAATAGAATAGAATAGAATAGAATAGAATAGAATATGGAATAGAGTAGAGTAGAGTAGAGTAGAGTAGAGTAGAGTAGAGTAGAGTAGAATACGGAATGGAACGGAACAGAACGGGACAGGACAGGACAGAATAGAATAGAATATGGAATAGAGTAGAGTAGAGTTGAGTAGAGTAGAGTAGAATATGGATTGGGACGGGACGAGACGGGACGGGACAGAATGGAACGGAACAGAACAGAACAGAACAGAACAGAACAGAACAGAAACAGAAAGAATAGAATAGAATAGAATAGAATAGAATAGAATAGAATAGAATATGGAATAGAGTAGAGTTGAGTAGAGTAGAATACGGGATGGAATGGAACGGAACAGAACAGAACAAAACAGAATAGAATACAGAACAAAATAGAATAGAATATGGAATAGAGTAGAGTAGAATACAGAATGGAATGGAATGGAATGGAATGGAATGGAATGGAATGGAATGGAATGGAATGGAACAAAACGGAATGGAACAGAACAGAACTGAACTCTTTACTGGCCAAATGTGATTAATTCATGCCAAGATGCTAGGTTTCCCCGTTGACTTTGTTTGTCAGAAGGTCGCAAAAGGGGATCACGTGACCTTGGGACACAGCAACCGTAGTAAATACGGGTCAGTTGTCAAGCACCTGAATTTTGATCACATGACCATGGGGATGCTGTCGTAAGTGCGAAAAACAGTCATGTCAGTTTTTCCAATGCCGTTACCAACTTTGAATGGTCACTGAACGAGCTGTTGTAAATCAAGGACTTCCTGTATAATTATAGATTGGGGGGGGGAAACCTTTGGTAAACTGTGTGGATTAATATACAGGCGTTGGAAAAAGTAGCTAGAGAACTGATCGGTTTATTTGCCATGTTTCCTTCTATTTTTTTTTTCCTTTCCTTTAAGGGCATGCTTTCTCCCCGATTTTATCCTTCCTTAGGGAGGATAATGAAGGCAAATAGTCTCAAAGGCATCCCATTTTGTTTAGGAATAGGATTAGGAATTTGAACTCTCTTTGCCCGGTCTTAAATTTAGCACTCTCTCTGCCATGTAAGCTGCTTTGAGAATCTAAATGAAGTGTGGGTGTGTGTGTGAGAGAGAGAGAGAGAGAAAAGAGAGAGAGAGACGGAGGGAGGAGAGACAAGAGAAAGAGAAGACAACACAAGAGAAAGGGGGAGGGAGGGAGAGAGAGAAAAAAAGAGAAAGAGAGAAGGAAATATATAAAAGTTTTGGCATGCCTGACATCTAGTGGCAAAATACAACAATACCAGCCTCCCTTAAGAAGGAAGCTGGCAGGCAGGCAGGAGATCAAATGGAGAGATTCCACCTCCAATAAATAGAAATTAACCATTAGCTCTTGATTTCTAAGCAGTGCTCTGGCCTGAATTCTCAAAATGCTTTTCCAGGTGGCAGAGGACGTAAGGCATCTGAGGCAGGTCTGTAGGGCTCCTCGGTGGAAACTGAGGATCTGCAGCACACTTCTTCCAAATGCTGGCTCCCTGGACCCCTTCCTTCCTTTCTTCCTTCCTTCCTTTCTTCCTTCCTTCCATCTGTCCTTCCTTCCTTCCTTCCTTCCTTCCTTCCTTCCTCTCTCACCTTCCTTCCATCCTCTCTCCCTTCCCCTCCCTTCCTTCCTTCCCTCCCCTTCTCTTCCCTTCTTCTCTTGTCCTTCCTTTCTTCCTCTCTCCCCTTCCTTCCTTCCTTCCTTCCTTCCTCCCTCCCTCCCTCCCTCCCTTCCTTCCATCCTCTCTCCCTTCCCCTCCCTCCCTTCCTTCCTTCCTTCCTCTCTCCCCTTCCTTCCTTCCTCCCTCCCTCCCTTCCTTTCTCTCTCTCCTTCCTTCCTGATTCCTTCCTCTTGTATTTCAGACCCGGTGGAAATGGAATATCAAGAGGCCGTCAGTAAAAGCACCTTCCAGCAGCTTGTGACCGACCTGGAGCCTTCCACAACTTACAGTTTCTACATCAAAGCCTACACCTCTCGCGGGGCCAGTAAGGCCTCTGACATTGTGCTGGTGAGCACCTTGGGAGAAGGTGAGAAGGCTCAGCTTCAGGTTTAGATGTTCTGCCAGAGGGAATATTGCACAGTGCTGGAGATCAATCCACCTTGGCTTTGTGAATAATGTCCCCGTTTCAGTTCTAGATGGGTGAGGGAACAGTTTGATCAAAGCCTTCAAGTAGTCCTTGACTTAGGACTACAGCTGAGCCCATGATTTCCATTGTTAAGTGAGTTTGGTCCAGTGGTGGGATTCAGCCGGTTCGCGCGACTTTGGGAGAACCGGTTGTTAACTTTCTGAGCAGTTTGGCAAACTGGTTGTTGGAAGAAATGATTAGGGCAGAGAACCGGTCGTTAAATTACTTGAATCCCAACACTGGTTTGGTCCCATTTATGACCTTTCTTGGCACGGCGGGTAAGTGAATCACTGCGGTTGTTGAGTTGGTAACACGGTTGTTAAGTAAAGCTGGCTTTGCCTTTTTTTTTTTTTATTTGATTTATATGCCGCCCTTCTCCGGAGACTCAGGGCAGCTTACAATGCGTTAAGCAATAGCCTTCATCCTTTTGTATATTTATACAGTCAGCTTATTGCCTCCACAAACTGGGTCCTCAATTTACCTACCTTAGAAAGGATGGAAGGCTGAGTCAACCTTGAGCCTGGCGAGATTCGAACCTGCAGTAATTGCAGGCAGCTGGTCTTAATAACCAGCTTAATAACAGGGTGTCTTAGACCACTGTACTACCAAGGCCTTTGCTTGTCAGAAGGTCGCAACAACGATCCCACAATCCGGGGATACTGCAACCATCATTCACATAAGCGTGGGGAAAAAAATGATCATCAATCGCTTGTTTTTCAGTGCCATTGCAACTTTGGACCGTCACTAAGCAAACTGTTGTAAGTTGAGGACTAGTGTAACTTTGAGATGGCCAATCTGTCCTTCTGCGAAAGTTTCTGGTTCCTCTGAGAGAACGCGCGGGATTTGGCAAGACTTTTAAAATCCTTCAAATCGTTGACCCAAAGCCTGGGAGTTCAGGACATGAGCTTGCAGCCTCATAAAGTCTGGAGTTTCTCCTTTTGTCATTGTTTTCTTTTAAAATACACATTTTTTTTTCAACTCCTTCAATGCTACTGTTATGGATCTGGTAACAGGTTCATAAATTACAGAGGCCTCTGATGCTCCAAGCCAACCCTTCCTCTCCCTCCTGCCACAAACTCTGCCTTTTAAAAAAAAAAATCAGCTTTTTTTAAAAAAAAGTTTTTTATTTTTTACAAGCATAGCAGTGTGTGAAAACTGTGGTACCCCAATATCATACATTTCATACAAGACAATTAGTATTAATCATATTTGTTTCATTTAACAAGCTTATATAATACTGATAATAATAATAATACACATCTTTATATTAAATTATAATCTTTCATTGTTTGGTTATTCAATATTTCAATATGCTGTTTTTATACCACTCCCCCATTTTAATTAACATACCTGTTAACATGAATAAAATATTATCAATCGTATTTATTAACATTTAACAAACCTCTATAACTAATATTAATATCAATGTTTATATTACATTAAAATCTTCCATTATTGCTCATTCAACTTGTTATTTGGTTATTCATTATTTCAACATATTGTTTTTATGTCAATCACCATATTCTACATAATACAACTAAGATATTATTAATCATATTTGTTACATTTAGCATACATATGCATATTCAGCTTTGCACTGGTGAAATAGAGTTAAGCGTTAGTTTCGTAATGGATGAGCAAACCCAGTTAATCATTAGCTCAGCACCCCCATCCTAGCTTGATTTATGATTTGTGGTTCCACCTCTGGGCTTCCTTCAGATCAAGAGTATATCCAGAGTAGCATCTGGAGGCTGTTCCTGATGTTTTGAGGTGTCAGGGGTCCAAACAACAATCCCGTAGTAAGAACAACTCTGAGGCAGGTGAATTCCTCAAAGAATAGCTTTATTGGAAATATATTGGCACAGATCTGGGGGAAACTGACTCTAAAGACTCCCGCGAGTTTTCACCTAATTAAAAGTAAAAGTTTTGTCTCTTTTTGTCTCTTTCTCAAAACAATCAGTCACATAGTCCAGGTGCGGTCTGACAACCGGGTAGCGTCTCTCCATCTTCCTCCGATCAGTGTGAGAATGTCCTTGGTTCCCAAGAGAAAGTATTTTGTTTTGGCTACAGAATCCTCTCTCTCTCAAATCCCCCCTCCCTATCCCTCAGCCCCAGTGTGGCAACACTGAAGCTGTCAAAATGGCTTTGGTCAGGTCAGTTTCAGGGTTGACATGAGGGTTGACAGTTCCACATAAGCAATCACTGGCTGAAGGCGAGGGCTCGCGGCGAAATAAATTGGATAAAATCTAATGGACCGTCTCTTGCCGGTCACATCTACCTGAACCCACTAAAACGGGGAGGCGTGTTGCAGATCCCATCCCCTGAGGAGGTACATCTGGAGGGACCCAGAAAAAGGGCCTTCTCCGTGGTGGCTTCCTCCCTTTGGAACATCGTCATCCTTGCAGAAATTAGACTGGCCCTCCATTTTGGCAATCTTTCGGAAGGCCCTGAAAATGTGGTTTTGCCAGAGGGCCTGGGGAATCCAGAGCGGGTTGGAGCCATGAAATGGCTTGTTTAACCGTGTCCTGTCACCAGGATGGGTGGAGGGGGGGGGGTTTTTGTTTTTTTTCTTTTTTTAATTTTTATTTATTTTTTCCTGTTTTGTGTTTTTACTCTTTGTAAGCCGCCTAGACTCGCTGCAAGCAAGCAGGCAGCTATATAAATAGCACTTGCACTTAGACTTATATACCGCTTCCCATGGCTTTGCAGCCCTCTCTAAGCGGTTTACAGAGTCAGCCTGTTTCTCCCCCCACAAAAATCTAAGTCCTCATTTGACCGACCTCAGAAGGATGGAAGGCCGAGTCAACGTTGAGCCTGGTGAGATTCAAACTGCCAAATTGCAGGCAGCTGACAGGCAGCAGAAGTAGGCTCCAGCACTGGATTCTAACCACTGCACCACCGTGGCTCTTGTCTAAATATACATTTATATAAATGTTCTAAAATAAATAAATATGTTTATGATTTCATGGTTCTCGGTCCAAAGCAGGGGTCTCCAACCTTAGTAACTTTAAGCCTGGCAGACTTCAACTCCCAGAATTCTCCAGCCAGCTGGAGAACCTGGTCCAAAGTACCTTTGAGGTGCACTGGCATGGGCTTTAAGTTTGGAAGGAGAAAGAAGACCTCACCCAACTCTTCTCTGCCTTCTGCTTCCTTTCAGTACCAGCAGTGCCTTCCCTCTTCATTAAAGTCCTCAACAGCACCGCCGTTCAAGCCACGTGGGAACCTTCCATCAAACTGGGCCAACATGAAGGGTTCAAACTCTTCTACCGCAAAGTCCACCTTCCGCACTTCACGGGGCCCATGCTTCTGCCCAGCAATGTCACCTCTTGCAACCTTACTCATCTTGGTGAGTAGAGAAGAAGGATGTGGTAGAGAAAGAGGGAGGGCTACGGACTACCCATCAAGCATCACGCTCTTGGGTAGATTGATTGATGATTGATTATGTACCATCAAGGCATTGTCTTCTCTTAGGGACCTCGCAGATACGTTTTCTCCATGATGATCTGTCTCCAAGCTGATTTTTTATGGAGATTCTCAGTCATCCAGGTCATGGTTGTCCCAAAGGTGTTTTTCAGGAGGCAACTGGACTTTCTTAATTCAGTTGCCTCCTGAAAAAGCACCTTTGGGACTCCAAGCTGATCCGTCAGGTCTTCCATTGTTGCTTTCATTACATCTGTAACTGAGTCCATCAACCTTGTAGTTGGTTGTCCTCTTCTTTTTCCTTCCACCTTTCCCAGCATTAGACCCTTCTCCAGAGAGTTGGGATTTTGCATTATGGGTCCGAAGTAGGATAATTCGAACCCTGGTCGAATTTGTGCCTCAACTATGGGTTGATTTGTTCAGATGCCACAAGCCAAATATAATCCTTTTGCAATGGAGAAGAATGTATGAATGTATCTACTCAGGGTTGGCGTTTTGGGTTGGGTTGGCTTTCCATTGGCAGAGGTTTCCTGTGTGGCTGACATCTGCAGAGCTACAAGTGGATAGTCAAACATCTGGCAAATGACAAGCCAGACATGGAGAATTCCTATAAGCCAACGGACATCCACAAGTCACACAGAGTGAAAGAAACAGCTACTGGGCTATTTCCCCGTTTTGTGAGATTTGAATTTTGTGGTTAAATTTGGACATCATAATCTTATGGAGGGGAATATCTACGGAGATTCTCAGTCATTCAGGTCATGGTTGTGCCAAAGGTCCTTTTTCAAAAGGCAACTAGACTTCATTGTTTTTCCTTGAAGACATCACATTGAAGTCCACATTCTGGACGGAGAGGACCACGGCTTTGAAGGTGGGGTCAAAATGGCCATCTATGTTAAGACTGAACAGCCTTCTCTCAAAAGAGGTGGGGGGATACAGCACCACTGATCTCCTGTCTACAGCCCAGTCCTTTCAACAGTTCCAAGAAGGCTCTACACCCATTTGCACTATTCAGGTGACATTGAGCTCACAGATAAACCTTCAAGCAGCCTCAACAACTCTTAGAAAGAGTACTAATGACCAGATGACTGCAAAGAATATACCGTATTTTTTGGACTATAAGACGCACCAGAGTATAAGACGCACTAAGATTTCAAAGAGGAAAACAAGAAAAAAAATAGTTTTTGGCCTCCACACGTCCAGTTTTTGCCCCCCCCCCTCCCCCGGCCCCTAGGAGTACTCTGCAGGCCTCCCAAACCCTCCGTGCATCCGTTTTTTGCAAAAAACAGGCCTGTTTTTCACAAAAACAGGACACGCAGGGCGGGGATTTGGGAAGCCAAAAACAGCTGTATTCGGTGTATGACACACCAACATTTCCACCCTCTTCGGGGGGGAGTGTGTCTTATACTCCGAAAAGTACAGTAAATCCTTCCATTCTCCACCATTCAGTCAGAACTGAAGAAGCTTCTCGGATGAGAGGCAAAACGTCTTCAAGGAAAAACAAGGAAGTCCAGTTGCTTTTTGAAAAAGCACTTTTGAGACTTGGCGAGGGGAGTTCCTAAGACACACACCCCCGTCCAAAAAAAGGGGGATATTCAAGGCTGATATCTTCCCACTTCTGATACAAATGCCAGAGATCAGAGTTATTGAGAGAAAGCAGCACTGGGTTTGCCTTGCTCAGTGAACATATCCTCGTTGTTGATTGACCTAACGTATCTCCCCCATTTCCCATGTTTTCTCAGATCCATCAGTTGTGTACGAAGTCAAACTGCTTGCTTACAACCAACATGGCGATGGGAACTCCACCGTCCGTTTTGTGTCCCTCCGAGAAACTGTTGAAAAAACAGGTGAGAGGCTCAACTCACCCTGAGGAGCCTTGAGATGTTTGGGTTGATGAATGCAAAGTGGGAAGAGCTGGGTGGGAAATGGAGAAAAGGAAAAAAAAAATACTAAAAGTTAAAAGAAAAAGAAAAGGAGAAAAAAAAGGACCTTAAAAAATGACTTATGTTCTGCTTTGTAGCAGCTACAGGTATCCTATCTCCCAAATGTCATATCTCGATTTCTTCCTTCTTTTTTTTTATATTAAGTTTTTTATTTTTCCAATATAAACATACATGTTTTGTGGAAAGTACATTGATTGGGTCAGGTCTTTTTTATACATTAACAATAATTGTTATTATTATTAAGTATTATTAATAAGTATGTAATAAGTATGTATTTCTTCATGCATACAACATAGAAGTTTCTTAAATATTGAGATATTGGAATAATAGAAATATACTTTTTATAAGCTGTATGAAATCACTACAAAATGGATCTAGAGATGTACGATTTCCTTCTTCTTATAAGCAAGCCTTTTTAATCAGCAAATCCCAAGATCATTGATTTGATCATATTTGTCCATTTTCACCAAAAGAAAAAAAAAAATCCAGAAAATGTTTCCAGTCTTTTATAATGGTTGTTCCCATGTGTATCTTTTATATTGAAGTTATCCGCTTAGGGGCGGCCGAAAGCCCTACTAAGCAGCTATATACAAAAAGTATGAAGGCTATTGCTTAACACATTGTAAGCCGCCCTGAATCTCCAGAGAAGAGTGACATATAAATCGAACCAATAAATAAATATCCAATAGAAGATAATGTCTGTAGCTCCGGGCTGAATTGTGGAGTCCTTGGTGCTGAGTTTGGTTGTTTGAAGATGTTCTATCACCCAAATAATGAAACCCAACCATTATCAGTTAGATTGGGTGTCAGCAACCTGCAGCTCCGGAGCTGCATGTGGCTCTTTGAGCCCCCTGATGTAGCTCCCTGTTGGGTGATCCCATTACTGGCTGGCCCCACCCCTAGCCCTCCCCTCCCAGTCACTCCTCACCTGGCCTGAGAAGGTACGGGTGACACTGGGGGATGGAGAAGCGACCGGGGCAGAGACAGAGAGATACAGAGAGAGGTGGAGAGAGAGAGACATAGAGAGATGCAGAGAGAGGGGGGGGACGGAGGGAGGGAGGGATAGAGAGAGAGATGTCAAAAGGGTTTTGTGGTTCCCGGTGTTTTTTAACAACCGGTTCTCTGCCCTAATGACCGGCTGGGTAGGCGTGGCTACGGGGGGGAGTCATGTGTCTGGTGAAATGAGTGACAATGAGTTGGCCACACCCACCCAGGTTTTGTGGCTCCTGGTGTTTCCTTTTCTGTGGGAAACGGGTCCAAATGGCTCTTTGAGTGTTTAAGGTTGCAGACCCGTGAGTTAGAATGATTTAGGGCGGGGGTCCCCAGACCTTGGTCCATGGACCAGCTCTCGTCCACACCAAGCCAGAAACCAGGCCACATAAACAAGTGAAGCCTCATCTGTGGGATGCAGGCAGCACATGAAACCATGCCCACGGAAAAACTTCTCTCTATGGAACCAGTCCCTGGTGTCCAAAAGGCTGGGGGAGGGGGCTGATTTAGGGCTTTATAAATAGGCAGCAAGCCCCACACTTACTCACACTGATGACATGACCTAGTTGGCTAATGAAACATTAATTAAACATTGCCTAGTTGGGTAACATCTGCAAATAACCAAGCTCAGAAGCACCAAGGACTTCACAATTCAAAGCAGCTCCTAAAAGGACTTGCTTCTTTTCTGATATTAAGCTTCCCTTAATTGCTTTAAAAACAAGGGACGTGATGGCTCAGTGGCTAAGATGTTGAGCTTGTCGATCAGAAGGTCGGCAGTTCAGCGGTTCGAATCCCTAGTGCGGCATAACGGGGTGAGCTCCCGTTACTTGTCCCAGCTTCTGCCAATCTAGCAGTTCGAAAGCAGGTAAAAAATGCAAGTAGAAAAATAGGGACCACCTTTGGTGGGAAGGTAACAGCGTTCCATGCACCTTTGGCATTGAGTCATGCTGGCCACATGACCACGAAGACATCTTCGGACAGCGCTGGCTCTTTGGCTTTGAAATGGAGATGAGCACCACCCCCTAGAGTCAGGAACAACTAGCACATATGTGCAAGGGAAACCTTTACCTTTTAATTGCTTTAAATTAAAGCCTTGGTAGTACAGTGGTCTAAAGCACCCTGTTATTAAGATCAGCTGCCTGCAATTACTGCAGGTTCGAATCTCGCCAGGCTCAAGGTCGACTCAGCCTTCCATCCTTTCTAAGGTAGGTAAATTGAGGACCCAGTTTGTGGGGGCAATAAGCTGACTTTGTATAAATATACAAAAAGGATGAAGGCTATTGCTTAGCACATTGTAAGCCGCCCTGAGTCTCCGGAGAAGGGCGGCATATAAATCAAATTTTAAAAAAAAATTGTAAGGGCACCATTTTCTACTCAAAAGACTTAGATGTTCATTTCCCCTTCCGCCAAAAAATGCATGGCCCTGGGCACCTGCAGGAATGGCAGGATATGGGCAAGAGAGATGATATGTCATGGATGGCATCACATGTCTGACATGAATACCGTTATTCGTATTACAGGTAGTCCTCAACTTATGATCAAAATTGAGCCCCAAATTTCTGTTGTTAAGTAAGACATTTGTTAAGGGACTTCTGCCTGATTTTAATGACCTTTCTTGCCACGGTTGTTAAATGAATCATTGCAGTTCATAAGTTAGTAACGTCTATGGAGATTCTCCGTCCTCCAGGTCAAGGTTGTCCCAAAGGTGTTTTTTTTTTTTCCAAGAGGCAACTGGACTTTCTAGTTTTTCTTTGAAGACGTTTTGCTTCTCATCCAAGAAGCTTCTTCAGCTCTGAAGAAGCTTCTTGGATAAGAACGCCTTCAAAGACAAACCAGAAAGCACTTTTGGGGTAAGTTAGTAAGCAGGTTGTTAATTGAATCTGGCTTCCCACGGACTCTGCTTGTCAGGAGGTCCCAAATTGGGATGACATGACCTTGGGACATAGCAACAGTCATAAATTTGAATCAGTTGCCAAGCATCTAAATTTTGATCACACGGTCATGGAGATGCTGCAAAGGTCGTAGCTGTGAAAAACAGTCACAAGTCTCCGTTGTAACCTTGAATGGTTCCAAAGGAACAGTTGTAAGTCGAGGACTACCTGTACTCGTCTTACCTGTACGAGTGATACAAGAGGTTATTTGTTTACCTGTCCTACGATTCATGTCAGAGGTTCTCAGAAATGTTTTCCCTTCGTCTTTCTCACCCACCTTAGACCTCAACCCGCCATGCAACTGCATGAAGGATGAGTCAACCAACAAGACCTCAGCTACTGGGATCATCATTGGAATTCACATTGGGGTCACCTGCATCATCTTCTGTGTCCTTTTCCTCATGTTTGGCTACAGAGGACGGTAGGTTCTCTTTCTGCCCAATTTCTTCTCAAGCTACGTCACTGGGCACTTTTGACAGACACGAGAGTTCCATCAACCAGGTGTATGGACCAGGGGTGACATCTAAAATTTGTTACTACCGGTTCTGTGGTGTGGCTTGGGAGGGGGGTGGGTAATGTGACTGGGTGGGCATGGCCAACTTTTTTTTTTTTTACTTTTAAAAGCATTTTTTCTACAACCTTAAGAGGTTGCAGAAAAAAATGCTTTTAGAAGCCTCTGACAATCCCAGCTCAGCCGCGCAATCATCAGAGACTGTTTTTTTTACTTTTAAAAGCATTTTTTTCAGCCGAAGAGGTTGTAGAAAAAATGCTTTTAAAAGTAAAAAAAACAGCCTCTGGTGATCGCGCGGCTCAGCTGGGCATGGGGGGGGCGCAAGGGATTTTTGCTACCGGTTCTCCCAACTACCCGCCACCATCACTACCGGATTGGGCGATCCGGTCCGAACCGGGAGCATTTCACCCCTGGTATGGACTTAGTCTCCAGGTCTTCTTAACTTGATGTTGTCTGCATTAGCCAGTATCACCTCTGCAGAGCTTCCTTTTCAGCCTGGCCTTACAATCTCCAAGACCAGGCTGGATAAAACTTGGTGATTTTTTTTAAAAAAACTGGAAAACTGGTAAGATGGCAAGAGGAGCCCACATCTTGCTCCACATGCCTCCAAATAATAAGACCTCCCCGAAAATAAGGCCAAGCGCTTATTTCGGGATTCAAAAAAAATATAAGACAGGGTCTTATTTTTGGGGAAATACAGTAGTTTTCTATTTAAGATACATTAATAATTTAGTTGCTGAATAAGCATGAAATGGAGCTTACTTATGTAGCATGAGGCTATATATCCGTTATGGCGAACCTAAAACCACGTGTGCCCAAAGTGGCATGTGAAGCCATGTCGGCTGACCCGCACGGCCTTGCCTGTTGTCTTCTGGGTTTCTGGCGAGCTTGTGCGCACGACGATCAGCAGTCCTTCGCACATGCGGCAGTGCCGAAAACCAGTGTGAGCATGCACGCCGGCCAGCTGATTGTCGGGCCCATGGAGTCAGATGAAGACAGACATGAAATTGGGTCTCCCTGGGCTTAGCCCTCAAATGAAACAAAAAAAAAATGTTTAAAGGTTATGATATTTAGTTACCCCTGTTTCCCCTAAAATAAGACATTCCCTGATAATAAGCCCAATAGGGCTTTTGAGCACATGCGCTGAAATAAGCCCCCTCCCTGAAAATAAGCCCTCCCCAAAAATATTTAACCGCAAGTGCAGCTGGTCCCCGCCATTTCCTCTGGTTAGGGAGACAGAGCTGAAAATCAGGTAAGATGTTAAAGCTACGGTTCCTCCGAACTGGTATTTCTGACAATCAGCTGTGCCGCGTGGTTTAGTTTTGCTAGAAAGCAGGATTTCCTGCTTTCTAGGAAAGCTAAACCACGCGGCACAGCTGATCCCTCCCCTCACTGTTCTACTTACCTTCCCAAGCCTCGTTTTGGTGCACACACAGTGCGCGCTTAGTACACAAGCACGGCCAGTAAACCGGTAGCAAGCCGGTTCAGATTTCACCAGTGCCCAGGACCCCTTGCAAGTAAAGCCTGTCCTGATCCCCTTCCCACAGACTTCCAACAGTGGGGTCTTCTTTCATGTTTGGGAAAAGGACCCCACCATGTTTGTGTTGTGGCCCCGCCCTCTGAGCCTATCCCATCGGAGGAAGAAAGCTCCGAGCATGAGGAAGAGGAGTCAGCCAGGCCTCCCTCTCCAGGCCCCTCCCCTCTGGCACTGTCTCAGGTCCCGGCCGAGGGAGAGGAGATTAGCCGGGAGACAGGTGTCTCGGATGAGAGTGAAGGAGAGACGTCATTCCTGGATGCACGCCTCCGAAGGCGTGATAAACGATTGCAGCAGCTCAGGAGGCGTGCTAGGGATTAGAACTGAGTCACTGGACCACACCCCAGAGACTATATAATAGAGGGTGGTGGCCAGTGATCCCTGTGACGAACAAAAATAAACCTTGGATAGTCACTAAAGCATCGTCCGAAACTGTTGAGAGGAATATTATTTCTGTTGGACTCTTGTACGCTGAGTATATTATCTTTCTGTTTCTGTGGAAATAAAAGCACTTGGCAGACTGTGTGTATATCGCTGCCAAGTTGGAGATAAAGACCTGGGTGTGTGCCAAGTGCTTCCTTAACCCTCGGCTGGCTGTGTTTGTGTGTGTGTGTGGACGGGGACAGATCAGTTTGTCTCTCTCTCATTTTTAGCAGACTGCTGATGTGCAAAAATGTGCAAGAGCAGCTGTCAACCCCGCAGATCTCGAGAGGACCGAGAAATGTCCCTGGCCAGGCTCTCAATGGGTCAACGAAAAGGGAAGATCCAGATGTCAATGGGAAACAACTGGATATGAATGAACTGGAGAGGCTGTTCCCAGCTTTGCGTTCCCAACCCAGCCCCCACACGAAGGGAATCACGGTAAGGAAAAGCAAGGTGGAACTGGAATGTTGTTCAGAAAACCTTTTGTTGTACATTGTAAGCCAGGGGTGTCAAACTCAATTTAATTGAGGGCCGCATCAGGGTTGTGTTTGACCTTGGGGGGCCAGGGTGGGTGTGGCCAGCTCAACCTCACTCATGTCAGGGGTGCCTGTGGTGGCCCAAGCGCTCTGCCAGCAAAAACAGACTCCCACTCCTCAGTCCCGTTTTGGGCTGCGACAGCTTCCTGCAACCCTCTGCCAGTGAAAATGGAGCTCAGGGGGATGCTCGCGGCCCTCCTGAGCTCCTTTTGTACTGGCAGAGGCAATGCGAGCCAGTCCTTTGCTGTTTCCAGGTCCACACACAGAGTCGAGAATCAAACAGAGCTTCAGACTTTAAACTGAACAGAATTAACAACATTGCTTCCTGCAAAGGCCCATCTGCCTTTGCTCCTTTTTTAAGTCTTATGGGAGGGGCTAATCATCTCCAAGCCCTACTCCCGAGTCGTCCCTTTTGTTTTAAATGTTCTTGCCTCTTGCATGCGTGCACTGATAACAGGCTTCATCTGTTCCTCTGCCTCACTGAGGTCCAACTCTGGAGGCTCTGGAGGCAGCATGTACCTCCCAGATGGCCCTTTCTCTGCCTTTAATGCAGAACCCTCGTCCGAGCCTTCCCCAGACTCCAGGACTGGCCCATGTTCCTTCCCAACCTTTGCTGGCTGAGGAACTCTGGGAGTTGAAGTCCACAGGTCTTAAAGTTGCCAAGGTTGGAGATCCCTGCTCTAGGATACAATCTGGGTCAGTCAACAGGACCAGTGTGGCCACAAACACCACACGACACACTCTGCTAGAGAGAAGTTCCCTGAAGACGGGCTCCAGCACGAGTCCAAAAGCTCAGAAGACAAAAACTCCGATCCTGTTGACCGACCCAGTTAGGATCGTAGAACGTTATCCTGGGACACATAGATTTCACCTTCATTCGTCTTCGTGATCTTCTTGTATTTTGTGACAAATATCATTGTGCAGGCTTTGAGGGTTCCAATCGCAATTTTTCCCTTGCTTTCTCAGCTGGATCACATTCCAAATGCTTCACCCATTGAAATCCAGATATCTACTCTTCCTCCAGAAGAATTTAGCATCCTTGAGGAAGAGAACAATACCTTGTTTCCAAATGTACCTTCTGGCCCCCGCGGCCAGCCTCTGCTCACCATCAGCCAAGAAGAACCAGCTTTGAAGCAAGCTCCGACCAATGAAGGATAAATTGCCAAGATAGCTCAGACTTCTTACAGGACATCCCAGACACTCTTATGTTTTTTGTGCCTGGTTGATGTCTCTTAAGATGACGCATAAATCTCAGGTCGATGTCAAAAGTTCTGATTTCTGCATAAATCTGTATGCAGCCTTTGTTGGAATCTGTTATGAAGTTGATCTTTCTGACCTGCCTCAGGCTTGGAAGCCCATATCTACCCATCTGGATCTCCGTCTTCATTCTACAGCTGTCAAGCCAGTGACTTCTCTCAAGAGAAGCTCGCACACCACTTCGTAAACCTTGACACCACATGGGATCAATACCCTTGCCCATCTTGGGGGTTCACCCATGTGTCCCTTCACTGGCAGCTTTAGAATGATCGTTTCTGGATCCGTCTTGGCGATCTCGTTGAACGAACCCACGATGAAGGACCTCCCCACTTGGATCCACAACGCGGAAGTTTCAATGGAGCCACAGATCCTTTTTGTTGTTGTTGTTGTGTCCATTCATAATTCTCAGGATATATGTGTGTGTGTGTTTTTTTCATGGATGAACTGCTTCAAAGACAAAATGAGCATGGCAAAAAAATGAGAAAAAAAAAAGAAGAAAAAAAAAGAACCACCCAGGCCCTGGAAAAGGGCTCTTGAAAGAAAGAAAGAAAGAAAAAAAAAAAGACTTGGATGAACCCCCGAAGTAAATTCAGAACCTACCTCAACCGGAATTGAATGTCTTTTGGGAAGAGGCAAACGTATCTTGTGTCTTCCTTTTTTGGTCTTCAACGCAAGTAGTGTAGCACTTGGTCAGTACGTGTTTTGGTACTACCTCAGAAGTCACACTCCCATGTCCACCATGTTGGTCATTGGTTAATATTTCCTTCCAACCCCCTCCCCCCACCCTTTAAAGTCACCCCTTGTTGTCATCCTTGTTCCAATGTAAAGCACTTCCAAAATCTTGAAAGCAATGTTCTACCTCAAGACATTTTGTTTTTTAAAATAGAAGTATCGTTCCAGCCAATCTCCTCATCTCTTCCCTCCCCTCTTCCTGCTCACTTCCAATATCCCAAGAAGACAGAAGAGCATTGTGAACTCATGTCGGATGTGATCACTGAGGACGAGCCCTCCCCCCCCGCTTAGTGTGATAAGCTTTACTTTTAGGCAAGTTGCTAGTTAACTTGTTGTAGAGTTTTACTGGGTCAAGAATTGTTTTATATCATGTCTTCTTTTCTTTTTTTTTTCTTTTCGTCCAAACAAAGGAAACTCTAATGTTTGTTAGGATTGTAGTAAAAGGCAGGCTGCCAATTACCTAAAAATAACTTCCACTATAAACGGGTTACTATGGAGGAACGGTTGGATGGTCAAGGTACATTGTTCAAAGCTGGTTTGCCACATGTACGTTTAGGGGGTGCTTGCTGAATCAAAGAAAGTTTTTTATATATATAATGGAGGAGCTGAACTTTCATTTTTGCTTTGCACAGAGAAACCCTTGGATTTTCTGCAAAAAAAACCCAACCCTGAGCTAGGATCATCTTAAACAGTTAGGCTGGGTTGAAACAAAATGCTTAGCTTGGCTTTGGATAAGTGTCCGGCTACTACAGGATGGTAGTAGGCCTAGTGGTTAAGATGCTGGGCTTGTCAACTGGAAGGTTGGCAGTTTGAGACCCAAGTACCGCATGACGGGTTGTGCTCCTGTTCTTGCCTCAGCTCCTACCCACCTAGCACTTCAAAAGCATGCAAATGCAAGTAGATAAATAGGTACCGCTTCGATGGGAAGATAACAGCATTCCATGCTCCTTGGAGTATAGTCATACTAGCAACAGTACCCTGGAAGTGTCTTTGGACAACACTGGCTCCTTTGTCTACGAATGGAGATGAGCACTACCCCCTGGGCACAACTGGTATGGAGAAACTTTTACCTTTTACCTTTTACCAGCTATTATGGTTGGCCAACCATAATCTATGGCTTTGGCACATTGCGTGATCAGCTCCAATAGTAGTTAATGCAAGACAGCATTGTCAAACCAAGAGCTCTCTGTGAAGCCAATGCTTTCCATTCAGAGAACCTTCCTTCCAAGTTGTGTGTTTAAAGTTAGTGCATTGATCCCACCATGGTTTCACGTGTGTTATGTGGCAGGCAATCTCTCCAGATCTCCCTTCAATCTCCGGTCTGAAATATTTTCATTGGAGATGAAAGGAAACAATCTTGGAATATTGGGCTTACGTTCCATGTTGCCGTTCACTTTTCCCCACACAAAATAATAGAAAGCTGTGAAATGTGCATATTGTCAGGGCTCCAATGAATGCCCTAATTAACTCATGAGCCTGGAGCCAAGTTTCAAAAGAAATCCAGTTATTTATTAGGAGCAACATGTCGGCAGCTTCCCAAGTGTAGTCAACTCTGCTGTACGTAATTTACGGCTCAACTATTCCCCCGCCCCCCGTCCTCTCAGGCTGTGTCATAAATCACATTCTCCAATGAGGCACTTTCATGGGCTGTAGAAACCACGCCTCACAAACTGGCTCTGGTAATCTGAGATCCAACCTTGGAGGAAGGTATGCGTGGAATGTGGCTGCTGAACTGCTCCGTCAGTTTCTGCCCATGGCAACTCGAGAGCAGACTAGAAATGCTTTGCGAGCTGACACGTATCATTTTTGGGTACAAAGGTCTCACTAACCTAACCTCTGTAGGGTGCATGTGTGCAAACTAGACACAAGACCAGCCTGTTTAATAAGATGCCTCCAGCTGACCTTCACAGCACTTGAAGCCACTGATGTGGTGTCCACTGTTTATTTCTTCCCGTTTCTTCTGTTAGTTGTTCTCTAGGTCACTGGTGGCAGTACAGCTGGTAACAGACCACATGTTTAAAAGCCTTAGCATGGCCTTTCCTAACCTGGTGACCTCCAGATGTGTCAGGACTTCAGTTCCCAGAATTCCTAGCTAGGTTGATTGGGAATGCTGGGAGCTGAACTCCCAATCCATTTATAGAGAAGGCCAGTTTGGGAAAGGCTACCTTAGAATGTAGCATATTTTCTTTATAGAGTGACCTACCTCAGTTGAAGCAGTCAAAGTAGGCAATGCTGTTCATAAGAAGATCCTCTCCAATAGGATTATTGGTGGGAGACTTTCAACATCTACCTATCTACCTACCTACCTACCTACCTACCCCAACTCGTTGACATAGGAAAAAGCACTTAACAGCATTTCAGTGAAAATTGAAATGAGGCTCTTAATTCAATTCCCTTTTTTCCCTCTCCTAATGAATCCTGACACTGATTGGATTATGTTCTTTACCACTAGAATAGCCACTTCATGGTCATGTCCTTTCTTTGTTTAATGTTGAATTCCTATAGCTATTTTTATACGCGGTAATTAAAAGGAAAATGTTTTTAAAACTCTGGGTGAAAAAAGAGAAACAAAAAGAAGTGACTGGGATGGAGGAAAGAAGCAATATCTAAAGAAACAGCCAGCTACAGCAGGGGTCTCCAATCTTGGCAACTTTAAGACTTGTGGACTTCAACTCCCAGAGTTCTGGGAATTGAAATCTACAAGTCTTAAAGTTGCCAAAGTTGGAGACCCCTGAGCTACAGTATTAAGCCTTCCTTTTTTTAAAAAAAAAAGTGGATTTTTTAAAAAAAGACTCAATTTTTCAGCCTGAAGAGATCTGTCGGCATTCACTGTCACTGTCACTCTCCTTATTATTGGATATTTTGTTTATTTTACGGTGCGCCTGTCCATTAAAACAGGAGGAAGAAATAAAATGTATCTGGAATTATATCCCTTGTTTCAAGAGGGCCCTTCAAACCTTGTTGGCATCACGAGAAGACGGGTGACAAGGGTGACACCCCCCCAAAAAATGATCCTGAATGAGTGATGACGGAAGAAAACTGGATTGATTTCAAATGTCTGTGGAGATTCTCAACCATCCAGGTCATACTTGTTCCAAAGGTGCTTCTTCCAAAGGCAGCTGAACTTTCTTGTTGTTTTTTTCTCCCCTTTGAAAACATGTTGTTTCTCATCCAAAAAGTTGCCTGAAGTTAGAACTGAAGAAGCTTCTTGGAAGAGAAGCAAAACTTTTTCAAAGAAAAAAAAACAAGCAAGTCTAGCTGCCTTTGGAAAAAGTGATTTATTTCGAACTTACATATAGTGGTAAAAATCAGGTGGTCCCAGATTTTGGGAAAATCAGAAGGTCCCAGATATTTTGGGCTGCTTTGGCATTTTAAAAAGCCTTCACTGACTCTTGACTGATGACCAGTCTCTGCAGGTCTTAAGACGTACCCCTCCAAAACGATCCTGAAATTGGGCTGATTTTTTTCCCATGGGGATGTTGAAGAGTGGAAATGGATGCCTAACAGCTTTGAAGATTTCAAACATCTATTTTTTTCTCCTTAAATGTCCCCAAAAAGAAGCAACTAAAAAGTTGAATGTCCCACCCTTTCAGTAATTTCATCACCTGGTAGGTCATTCAACCTTAAGTCACACAAAACTGAAGAGATGCCGCCACTTTATTTTATTTTATTTTATTTTATTTTTGAATTTGTATACCGCCCTTCTCCCTGAGGACTCAGGGCGGTGAACAGCCAAATAAAAACATCAAATACAAATATTAAAATACAGTTAAAATATATATATATAAATTTGGCCCCATTAATTAAAACAATAAACCAAACAATTAAAAACACTTAAAAAGAATTAGGCCAGCCCGGCTTGTTGGAAAAGGAAGGTTTTAAGGTTGAAGGTTTTAATTTTATGTCTGTCTGTGCCTCCCATCTATTGGAGACACGGATTGGATGTTCAACAGACTTTGAGCGCAAAAGATTCAATCTTACTTTGAACTTTACCCCCAATTCCATCCTCAGAAAAATGAACCATCTCAGTGGTTTCCAAAAGCTGTCAGAAAAAGGATGCAGATTACATCCTTTGGATAAATTTGGCAAATGATGCGAACGCTTTTCTCCAATTGGTCCATAAAACTGAGGTTTTCCTATGCTACCTATGGAGGCATTTCCTCCAGTGTTGGGTTTCAAATTTATTTACTACCGGTTCTGTGGGCGTAGCATGGCTTGGTGGGCATGGCAGGGGAAGGATACTGTAAACCTCCATTCCCTCCCCACTCCAGGAGAAGGATACTGCAAAATCCCCATTTCCTCCAAATCCTGACTCCGGAGGCAGAGAATATATGGGGGCAGGGCCAATCAGAATTTTTACTACCGGTTCTCTGAACTACTCAAAATTTCCACTCCCGGTTCTCCAGAACTGGTCAGAACCTGCTGAAACCCACCTCTGATATCCTCCCTTTGCCCTTTTCTAGGAATCCCAGATTTGCACAGTAATGAGAATGTAGAAAATAATGGTCCCGTTACGGAGATGGGGATTAAATCCTCACTTTGAAAGTCAGTTGGTGGAGATGTGTTGCACCATCTCTTACTCTTAGTGTAGACCAGGGGTGTCAAACTCAAGGCCGGGGGCCAGATCTGGCCCACGGGGTGCTTAGATCTGGCCCAGAAACAGTGAATGACCAGACTGCGGTGCTTCTGCCAGCAAAAACTGAGCTCATGAGGCCACGCACGGCCCTCCCAAGCTCTGTTTTCGCTGGCAGAGGGCTGCAGGAAGCCATCGCAGCCAAAAATAGAGCCCAGGAAGACCATCGTGGCTGAAAACGGAGAGATGACATCTCCAATTTGCTGAGGCTGAGAAACACTGGATTAATTGGTCTGAATGACCCTCTTCAAAAGATGGAGTTTGTAGCCTGTCAATCGCACTGGTTGCTCCAGCTTCTGATTCAAAAGCACAGATTCCAATGGAACAACTGTCTTGTTATTTGAGAACGAGCATTTTTATGGATGTGACCTACAAATGCATTCATCTTTGTGGCTTCAACACACACACACACACACTGCCAATTCACTTTCTGCTTGGGGTCAACTATGACTCCAGTATCACCATTCCCACTCCTCTCCTCCTGTTTGACAGCCCAGATTGGCAATTAGTGGCATCTCTGGAAGTTTTCAAAAGAAAACTTGATTCTCCCTCTTAAAAGCAGATTGAACCCACGTGGTCAATAACAAAAAAAGGCTTAGTTTACATTGCGTAGCTGAGAAACGAAAAGGAAAGAAAGAAAACAGGCATTTAGCCTGATTGTACTTCTCTTCAGGATGCTAAAAAAGGGCTTCTTTGGAATGGCGAGCTCATTCTGCCACAGCGTGTTTGAGCATAATGGTTAAAAACAATGTGAAAACTTGGATATCGATAAAGCAAAACCACATATTTTTTTTTAGATTTTTTCAGCTCTTAAGTCCCCAGGGCTGTACGAACCTGCTTTTAATTTAATATCCTGTCCTGTTACTGTAAACAAATATTTGTCATTGTTTCCTTTAATTAAAAGGGGAAAAAATATTGTGCCATTTGATTGATGAGATTATAATAGCCCATCATGGAGAAATTGTGACCTTCCTTCCTCCCTTCATTTCCTCCCTCCCTCCCTCCCTCCCTCCCTCCCTTATAGATTTCTTTTGATATGAGACAACTGACATGAACCTCTAAGATTATTATAAGTATTATTACAAGTGTTATATTTTTATTCAGTGTTTTTAGATGATTAGTTTCTCCTTGGTTGGTTGGTTGGAGGGGAGGGGTCTCTTTATGTTTTGAAAAATTCTATAGCCATAGAGATTCCTTGCAAACCAATCCTCAAAATGTGCTTCTTCTTTTTTTTCTGAATGTATCCTTGATCTTGACCTAAGGAAGTTACGTATTTCTTTTCAGTCTTTTGGGGGGGGGGATGTCAATTCTGCTGCCAATTCCAAGAACAAAATTAGAAAATGAAATAATCAACGTTCTTAATGCAACATAACCTACCTGTGTTTTAGAAAGAAAGGGAGCAAAACTCTGCAAAGGAAACTGCAAGGCTTCATTAGAGACCAGGCAAGATTATGGTGGGGCCTCAGATTTAACCAGATTTAACCAGAAGAAAGAATGCAGAGGAGGCTTATTGTGGTGCCGATAGACACCTTTCAAACCTTACTTTAACTTGGCTGTCACTAGATAGCTTAGGTCCACTTTTCTCCTCCGTTTCATACTATTGTGGGATGTTATGAGAAAAACATTGGACGCTTTGGAAGGTATCATGTGATCGGGGTAACATGACAGCAGTGTTCCCGTATTTGAAGGGCTACCACGAAGAAAAGAGAATCAGTCTATCCTCCAAAGCACCAGAAGGCAGGACAAGAAGCAATGGATGGAAACTTAACAAGGAAAGATCCAACCTAGAACTAAGGAGACATTTCCTAACAGTGAGAACAATTAACCAGTGGAACGACTTGCCTCCAGAAATTGTGAATGCTCCCACACTGAAGGTTTTTAAGAAGAGATTGGCCAACCATTTGTCTGAAATGGTATAGGCTTTCCTGTTTGAGCATAGGGTTGTACTAGAAGACCTCTAAGATCCCTTCCAACTCTGTTATTCTGTTAATTACAGGTAGTCCTCAACTAACAGCCATTCGTTTAGTGACTGTTCGAAGTTACAAAGGCCTTGGGGAAAAAAAAAGTTTTCACAACTTCAAACAGTCACTAAACAAACTGTTGTAAGTTGAGGACTACCTTATTTTAAATGTAAAGCACAAAATCTTGAGAGGGAAAACCTCCCAAGAGGGTGATTTTGGGGAGCCAAAATATCTAGAGCCAGCCCTTATATTTGATTCGCAGACTGGGCATGTTGTAGCAAGTTTAAGATGTGTGGACTTCAATTCCCAGAATTCCCCAGCCATCCACACCTCTTAAAATTGCAAAAGGTTGAGAAAACACTAAGGTGGAGTTAGAGAGGATGAATATGGAGGGAGGCTATTTGAGAGAAGAAAGTGGGACTTTGGACAGATGTCCTGGATGTAAAGCTTATTGAATCCACTTGATGGCAGCACCTAGGAAACGTTGGCTGATTTCAAAAACAGTGACCTGGTTAGTAGTCGGATGGGAGACCACCAGGAAATTCTTGGGTTGCACGGCATCCTGCTGAGTGCCACCGAAACCCCTTTATCTAAGAAGATTGAGCAAAGTAGTAGTTGCATCAACTAAACCAAGCTAGTTGATGAAGCTTCCATTCCTAAAACTTTGACTGTTAACCTTTCCATACGTGAAAGATAATTATTTGGGTCTTCCTTGGAATAATGCTGACCTCCGAGCACTCCCCCCACCCCCGTTTATTTTCTATTTTCCCTTTCTTACCCTTTGAAATCTCACTGACCTTATGATTGTTAGTTCTGTGCTTACCAACGAACAAAAGAGAGGAGATTCTAGATTTCTTTTTATCTTTTTTATCTTTGATAGGATGTTCTGTTTAGTGTTTTAGCTCATGGTTATTCATACCAAGAACCAAAAAAAATAAAAGCTAGAATAAATTAGATCTGCTTCTTTTGTGTCTTTCTTTAGTGCTCGTTCAGCATGTCTGTTTGGCCTTAATGACACCACTGGAAAATAGATGCCGTATCTAAATACTCTACTCTCCCTTTTAGACAGATTTAGAAGACAAATGTAGTACGCTGCATATACCAATGCATTTTCTAGGTGTTAACCTGATTGAGTTACATGAACACTGTGTAATTCTAGTAGAACAGCTATCAAATGTTTATGCCTTTGCTCTTCCGCATTTAACTTCCGAGTTCTTCTGAAAATTTCAGGAAGCACAATGCGCTTGAGAACATCATGATATTGAGATATTGAGACTCTGGAAAGAGTGCAGAGAAAAGCAACAAAGATGATTAGGGGGCTGGAGACTAAAACATATGAAGAAAGGTTGCAGGAATTGGTTACGGATAGTCTAGAGAATGAAGGATTAGGGGCAACATGATAGCAGTCTTCCAATATTTGAGGGGCTCCTACAAAGACGAGGGAGTCAACCTATTTTCCAAAGCACCAAAAGATAAGACAAGAAACAATGGTTGGAAACTAAACAAGAAGAGAATCAACCTGTCTGACTCCAAAGGCAGCTGATAACTGTCAGACGGCTCTGGCCCCATCTCTGCCTCCGACGCAGACCCCTCGTCCGAGCCTTCCCCAGACTCCAGGACTGGCCCATGTTCCTCCCCAACCTCCTCACTGTCCGAATCTGCTACCAGCTCCGCTGGCGGGCCACAACAGCTGGGGATTGGATCTTCCAGCTCTGTTATTCTGTAACTCCAAAGTTGCAGAACACAAGGTTCCAGGGTACAATTCAGAGCAAGGAGAAAACTCTCTCATTGTCTGCAAAACTGCTGGGGAGAACTAACAATTACCCCGAAGTCTATGCTGGAGAGAATATGCCGCTGAGCTACTCTTATTCTCTCCCACGTCTCTGTGAAGCAATCTCAATTCACGGGTAGAAAAACCTTCCAGGGATGCTTGACTGAACAGCCAAATAACCACAGTGGTGCCCTGTTTATTGGACTATAAATATAAAGATAACAGTCACTTAATTAATCAATTCCTAAATGTAGCCACTGGGAGGGACAGTTTCCAATATCCAGTTGAAAATAACATCTATTTTTCACAGGCTTTGCTTTCCCTCTGGCTTCCTTTAGCTTTGCAGACGTTTCTTTTCTCTTTCTTTCTTTTAAGATTATTCTTGGGAGGTGGGGCAGGCTCAGTGGTGGGTTCTAACCAGCTTTATTACTGGTTCTCTTTGTGCGTGCGCTTTGCACGCGATTGTTGCGCGCATTCACGCTTCGCTCACATGTGCGCCAAACTTGCGCTTTGCGAATCTGCCCAGCTGCGCTGCAGCACTCTCAACTGGGTGAAAAAAAGAAGAAATATAAAGTCAGAATAACGTGGGGGCAGGATGGCCCAGCTCCCCAAGAAAGAGAACCAGTTCGGTGACGTAATAGCGTCACCGCTACCGGCTCGGCCGAACCGGGCCGAACCGGGAGGAACCCACCACTGGGCAGGCTGTTCTAATTTCAACCTAAAAAAAATTTCATTCAACCTTGAGGTTCATTTGTATTGGTGGCCCACCCGGCCCCCATAAATCAAGATGGGACAAGTCATCATCAAGAAAATGCTTTCCAGAATCTCCCCTTAACATCAGAAAAAGGCTACTGGGGGACTACAGATTTTTAATGCTGGGGGGGGGGTGTTTCTCTTAATAGCAAGGAAGAAGCTATGGAAATGTGGCTGTTACGATTGTGGTTTAATAGTGCTTCGATTATATCCCCTCCTTTTTCTTAGCTCAGGGAAGGAACAGCTACATTAACAGAGGGGTAGAATCAAGATCATATGAAGTGCTAATACCCGTACCATTATATAATGCCTTGATAAGGCCACACTTGGAACACGGCATCCAGTTTTGGTCACCACGATGTAAAAAAGATGTTGAGACGCTAGAAAGAGTGCAGAGAAGAGCAATAAAGATGATTAGTGGACTAGAGGCTAAAACATATAAAGAACGGTTGCTGGAACTGAGAATGTCTAGTTTGATGAAAAGAAGGACTAGGGGAGACATGATAGCAGTCTTCCAAAATCTCAGGGGCTGCCACAAAGAAGAGGGGGTCAAGCTATTCTCTAAAGCACCTGAGGGCAGGACAAGAAGCAATGGATGGAAATTAATCAAGGAGAGAAGCAGTGGTGGGATTCAAATTTTTTTACTACCGGTTCTGTGGGCATGGCGTGGCAGGGGAAGGATACTGTAAAATCCCCATTTCCTCCCGATCATCTGAGCCTCGGGAGGCAGAGAAGAGATGGGGGCGGGGCCAGTCAGAATTTTTACTACCGGTTCTCCGAACTACTCAAAATTTCCACTACCGGTTCTCCAGAACTGGTCAGAAGCTGCTGAAACCCACCTCTGTTGCCTAAAATTAAGGAAAAAAATTCCTGTCCATGAAAACAATTAATCGCTGGAATGGCTTGCCTGCAGAAGTTGTGGGTGCTCCATCTCTGGAGGCTTTTAAGAAGAGACTGCATAGTCATTTGCTCAGGATGGTATAGGGTCTCCAGCCATGGGCAAAGGGTTGGACTAGAAGACTTCCAATGTCCCTCCCAACTCTGTTGTGTTCTGTATTCAGGGACTCCCTGTACTTCACTTTTAAACTGAATATAATTTCCTCCTCCGCAAATGGTTATCGGAGTCATTCTGACCTGCTGAGTTCTTGGCTTCAGCTTTAACTGCCCTCTGGAGAGACCTGGGGGGTGGAAATCACTTCCTGGTTTCCTAGATGTTTCTTTTAGCGCGTTCCAATAAGGTGACTCTAAGATTTGCACCATATCTTTGTGCCATATAAGATAGTCTTCTTTTGGGGGGAAGACACTCGCAACCTACCCATGCAAAAATGCAAAACAGGAAGTGTTTCTTTCCAGGGATCCTTTTAAGAAACTTAACTTTTGTTCCATTGACAGCATTTGTCCCTCTTTCATCTCCAATTTCACTCAACTCATCACCAAGAGGATGGTCCCAATTTTCACTGCAAATTCCTGACCTTTTACACAAATCTCTCCTAAGGTTTTCAATCCTGAAATATAATGGAAATGACTGAGAGGGATAGAGAGAAAGAGAAACACAGAGAGAGAGAGAGAGACATACGGAGTGTTTAATGACAAAAACGGCTATCCAAATAGCTTAGTGGTTCTGGGAAAATTCCACACAATTACGGGGCAATTGGAGGCCACATTCCATTGCTGTGACAACGGCAATCCGGAGATGGTTATGCTGAAAACACACAAATGGGCATGCGATGAAGGACATATTAAGGTACAATAAATATGATCGCCAATGATATTCACACACACACACCAAGCAATTCAGACCAAAATGGACACTGTCAGCCTCATGGGGCAAACCAGACAGGAATCAAAACTGGATTAGCTCATTTTACTTCATTGTAAAGTCACATTGACAGAAGTCTGAAAGTACAATTTTCTTTCTCCCTCCCCGGTCTGTTTTACAGGCCAAGAAATTAGGGAGAGTCCCTTCTGAGCTTCTTGGCCATCCCACTATTTAGCTGTGAGTTGTGCTATCTCTTATCTGACTGTTCCCTTGGCAGCATCTCTTGGCTCAGTCTCCCAAGGTGTTTCTCACCTACTGTTACAGTAACAGACCATTCCTTCTGCCTTGTTTGGCAAGAAAGAAAGAAAGAAAGAAAGAAAGAAAGAAAGAAAGAAAGAAAGAAAGAAAGAAAGAAAGAAAGAAAGAAAGAAAGAAAGAAAGAAAGAAGAAAGAAAGAAAGAAAGAAAGAAAGAAAGAAAGAAAGAAAGAAAGAAAGAAAGAAAGAAAGAAAGATATTACAATGGGTGGATAGAAGATATATAGGTAAATGATAGATGGATATAGAGGATGGATGGATGGATGGATGGATGGATGGATGGCTAAATTAGATGGTTAACATTTTCCGGACCAAGTGCTCAAAGTGTGTGCACAAATGCGCACACACCCAAACTCCCAAAATGCACTGTGCGTGCAGCCCCCGTGTATGCGTGCATAGCCCCCTGCATACGCCTCCTGCAAGCTCCCCCGTGTGCCCCACCCCCTGTGCATGTACGGCAGAGACCCAAAGACCAGCTGGCTGGTGGGAGGTACACATGCATGCACACTGGAGCTGAGCTGGGACGACAGCTCACGTGCCCACAGAGAGGGTGCTGCGTGCCATCTCTGGCACGCGTGCCATAGGTTCACCATCATGGAGATAGACGATAGATAAATAGAGATTATAATGGGTGGATAGAAGATAAATAGATAAATGATAGATGGATGGATGGATGGATGAATAGATAAATAAGACTGTGTTTCCCCAAAAATAAGACCCTGTCTTATATTTTTTTGAACCCCGAAATAACCACTTTGGCCTTATTTTCGGGGAGGTCTTATTATTTTGGGGTGCATAGAGCAAGATGGGGCTCCTCTTGCTGTCTTACCCGATTTCCAGTTCTGCGTTTAAACATTTTCAGGGAGGGCTTATTTTCGGGGGGAGGCTTATTTTAGTGTATGCACTGAAAAACCTGCTTGGGCTTATTATCAGGGGATGTCTTATTTTCGGGGAAACAGGGTAGATAGATAGGCAGAGCAAGAGAGAGGGATAGATGAATAGAGATAGATAATGATGAGAGATAAATAGATCGAGATTTTATTGGCGGCCCAATTTCTAAACAATTCTGAATGGATAACAAATGGACATATTAAAAGAAATGCAGCAAAATATAACAGAAAAAAAAAATAAAACATAAAGAAAATCAAGAAGTACTCCACAAGGCTGAGAAATTAATTCTTGAGCAATAGAAAGATGGAGCCACACAAGTCTCTGGGGAAGGATGTCATTCCAGAGGGCAAGAATTTGTAAGAGTAGGTGCGCTTTCTGGGTCCTGCAAGATGACATTCTTTAAATGATAAGACGAGTGGTGGAATTCAAAATTTTTTACTACCGGTTCTGTGGGCATGGCTTGGTGGGCATGGCAGGGGAAGGATATTGCAAAATCCCCATTCCCTCCCCATTCCTGGGCGAAGGATACTGCAAAATATTTACTATATTTAAAATATAGGTTTTACCAAGACCTGAAGACTTGGCTGTTCAAGCAAATAGGCTGACTCTGATTCTGGGTTTTATTATTTATTAATTAATTTGGTTTAAAATGGGATTTTGTTGTACATGTTTTTAACTTGTGTTCGCCGCCCTGAGTCCTTCTGGAGAAGGGTGGCATATAAATACATAAAATAAAATAAATAAATAAATAAATTCCCCATTCCCTCCCCACTCCTCGGGGAAGGATATTGCAAAATCTGCGCAAGAACAGAAGCTTCTGCGCATGTAAATGTTGTGGATTTAATAAGACAAACACAACTTTTAGATTAATCAGAGACAGATTTTATATATTGCGCAATAGGTTCAAGGCTCTGTACATGAAGCGTTGAACAAAGACAGAAATTAGGTACAATGGTTTTATACCCTTCTAGACAAAGGATTCTGTTAACTCAGCAATTCATATGGTCATATACATTTATCATTTTTAATTAACATTTCCTAATTACAGAGTTTCTTTGCAAAACAGTTATAATTCTTTTTGTAGATTACTGAAGCATAGATTCAAATCATCTTCTGACGATAGACAACTTTTAACTCATGTGGATCCACTTGACCTAACCAACCTTTAAGCTGTATGTCATTAGAATGTTCCTTTCTTCTGACAACTTAGAGGCCTCCTAGAGGAACCAAAAGGATTTTGGCTGAGTTTGTACTTTTTCCAACCGGATGCATTGCTTTTTAGAATAGAGTGAATAGAAAGTTATCCAGTGGTCATCTATCAGAGCCCACTTCATTACATTACACAGAGCGTACGTGTGCAAGAGCAAATGAGCGCGATCGCGCGGTCCCGCTACAAACTGGTAGTAAAGGTAAGTAGAACCCAACCCTGTTTTAGTCTCCAGTCCGCTCATCATCTTTGTGGCTCTTCTCTGCACTCTTTCTAGAGTCATCACATCTTTTTTTTATATCATGGTGACCAAAACTGGATACAGTATTCCAAGTGTGGTTTTACCAAGGTATTATAAACTGGTACACTTTGCACTTAACTAGACGTAGAATAACTTTATTGTCACTTTGAATGTACATTAATCGGCATGCATTAAAATGAAATTTTGGCACATTCAGCTCTCAAAGGGTCTCCACCTCCAATATACACTACATAAACATGACTAAATAAATGAATAGAAATAGAAAAACAAAGTTGGAAGGGACCTCGGAGGTCTTCTAGTCCAACCCCCTGCTTAGGCAAGAAACGCTACACCACTTCAGACAAATGGTTATCCAATCTCTTCTTAAACACTTCCAATGTTGGAGCATTTACAACTTCTGGAGGCAAGTCGTTCCACTGATTAATTGTTCTAACTGTCAGGGTTAGAGTTAACCTAACAATTAACAGTTAATATATGTTGCATATACCAACATATATTATGTGACCATAAAAGTAAGCCACACACTATGGTGCTGCCTTTGCATTATGTATGAACTTGGCAGCTGGGGTACACTCAACAAACCACGGTTAAAAGGAACCATGATTGAATGCAGCGCATCAGCTCAAACCGGAACCGGGATGCCCTGTTTTTTTCCCCACGTGGAAGCAAAACTGGGCAAAAGCTAGAGCTTCACTTGCTGCTACTGAGCATGCTCGGAGTCAACGAGCCTTTCCCCCCCAACCGTCGAGCTTCTGGGCTGCTGCTACTTCTACTGCGCATGTCCGAGGCTGCCGGCCGTTGAGATAACCCTGTAGCGCGCAGGCTCGTCAGCGCGAGGGAAGTCCGGTAAAAAGGCGTCTCGAGTCTTCGGTTGGCAGTTACGGCGCATGCTCCCAAAGGGGCGTGTTTCTCCAACTAGGCTGTTGGTGAGCGTGGCTGAGATTTACCGCGCATGCCCAGTAAGGACCTGGGGATGAGGGAAACGGTCAACCTCTTCGAACTCGGAGCAACCCTGGGCGGAGGCTGTGAGGTAGACCGGAGTTTGGGGGGTGGGAGAGAGGAGACCCCCCCCCCGGCCCTCAACAAAGGGACAAGGACCCCCGGCAGGCAGCCCGTGAGTTCAGCCACCCACTGGCAGAAGTTCCGTCAGGGGAAGAGAGACGTATCTGATAGAGAGACTCGACCGGTTGGATTTCTTCCTGCTCTCGAGGGTGTATGTCTTGCAGAGCTGAGGGGGAGGGGACCCTTCAGATACTGATAGCCCCCCCCCCGCCCCCCAGCAACGGATGACGGTTAGAGGCGGCAGGGCACAGCCTTACCTGTTGAATACCAACCTGTCGGTTGGCATTTTCATAGAAAGAAGGAGGAGCCTCTGTTAGATTGTGCTAATGGGGAGGGGGTGGGAGGGGGGGATAAAAACTTGTCAGTTGTCTGATATTTTTATTTTATTTATTTATTTGTATTTTTCATCAAGCATGTATTTGATGATAAATACAAGTGTAAGCATAATTACAAATACATGAAATGGATACGAATAAAAGAAAACATTGGGATGGTAGGCAGGCTGGTGCGCTTAAACATGGACCAGGAGGGACTCTTTGGTGGGCCCAGGAAGTGTCGGAAAAGGGCTGGGCTGCCCACCCACCTATCCCCATCGCTGGAGTCGGGTGGTTATTGTTGTAAATTGCAAAGTTGTGTCCGACCCATCGCGACCCCATGGACAACCTTCCTCCAGGCCTTCCTGTCCTCCACCATCCTCTGGAGTCCATTTAAGCTCACGCCGACTGCTTCAGTGACTCCATCCAGCCACCTCGTTCTCTGTCATCCCCTTCTTCTTTTGCTCTCAATCGTTCCCAGCATTAGGCTCTTCTCCAGGGAGTCCATCCTTCTCATTAGAAGGCCAAAGTATTTGAGTTTCCTCTTCAGGATCTGGCCTTCTAAAGAGCAGTCAGGGTTGATCTCCTCTAGGACTGACCGGTTTGATCGCCTTGCAGTCCAAGGGACTTGCAGGAGTCTTCTCCAGCACCAGAGTTCAAAGGCCTCGATTTTTTGATGCTCAGCCTTCCTTATGGTCCAACTTTCTCAACCATGCATTGCAACTGGAAGAACCATAGCCTTGACTATACGCACGTTTTTTGGCAGGCTGATGTCTCTGCTTTTTAGTGTGCCGTCTGACTTTGCCATGGCTTTCCTTCCCAGGAGCAAGCATCTTTTAATTTCTTGGCTGTAGCCCCCATGTGCAGTGATCTTGGAGCCCAGAAAAATAAAATCTCACTACCTCCATTTCTTCCCCATCTATTTGCCAGGAATTGAGAGGGCCGGTGGGGTGGGGAGGGGGCCCTAAATGCAGCCTGCCTTCTGTGCTGACCCCCTTCTCCTCCTCCTCGTCCCTCTCCCCCTCCTCCTCCGCAGGGCCTCCTGGGGATGCCAGCACCAAGCCACGAAGATGCTGCCCCCACTGCAGAAAGGGTGCAAGAGATCATCCAGAAGGACCTCTTGGCCGCTGACCTGAAATGCAGCCTTTTTGCTTCTGCCCTGCAAAGCTACAAGAGGGACTCTGTCCTCCGGCCGTTCCCAGGACACTACTCCTCGGGCGACAGTAAAGATTTTGAGGCTCTGGTGAGTTGCCCCCCACCCTGGCAGGCAGAGTCAGTGGGTGGGAGGCGCGGACGGGGAGGGGTCCTGAAGAGTAGGAAGGTGCAACTCAACCCTCACAGAACTGTTGGTCTTCTGAGCAAGAGACGGGGGCAGGTATGGGTCCCAATGGCCCAGTCTAGGCTGGCAGGAGGCAGGGGTTGAGTTAACAAGATCCAGCTGATTCCAAAATGGCCATTTTTATCGATCATAGCCGGAAAGGTGGTTTCTTGCATGCTTGCTGAGCCCTACACTGAACCTCTGAAATTTATTTATTCATTTATTTAGAAAATTTATATGGCCGCCCACTCACTCTCGGTTACTCTGGGCAGCTTACAAAGTGGAAAAACGTAATATAAATAACAATAAAAAGCAGTAACTCCTCATCTCCACCTCTTTGGCGACAACCATCAGTCAATAAGTCACTTGATGGGCTCCATCCCACTCTGGCTCCCCAGGCCTATTGGCAAAACCAGATCTTCGGGGCCTTGCAAAATGGTGGGTCCAGTCTTCAGGTGTCAAAGTGGGTGTCAAAGATTAACAGAGTTGAAAAAGACCTTATAGGTCATCTAGTCCAACCCTCCGCTCAAGCAGGAGACCCTACACCATTTCTGACAAATGGCAGCCCAGTCTCTTCTGGAAAAGATTGGACGACTTCTGGGTCCCGCCAGATGTACTTCCTTAGGAGCAGGGACATGCAATATTCCTTGCCTCCCTGTTCTGGTGGGTTAGGACTGGGAATTCTGCTCATGGTCAGGGTTAATGTTACAGCCTGGTAGAAATTGAGGATGAGGAAATCTGGTGAACAGCATGGAAGAAATGTAAATTTTTTTATTCCCTGTCTGTGGAAAGCAGAGACTTGTATTTCTCATGGGCTTTATAGGGTAGTTCACCTGCAGCTCATTTATTTTGAAATTCACCACCAGATTTGCGGGTTAGAGAAATTAGGTGGACACCTTTTTTGAATTTCTCAAGAAACAGGAGATCCTTCCCCAATTTTTCCAGATATTGTGTCATCTTTGCTGGCAATGGTGACACCACAATTGAAAAACCCCCATGGAAGGTCACTCCTTTTTAACGTTTTCTTTTTTTCTCCCAAGCCAAAACATAGGTGGCCAAAGAAGCTGCAGAAAGAGGAAACCTGGGATAAAATTAAGGCAATTGCTAAAATAAATCTTGGCCCATCCAGTTACTAAATAATGGGAATATTCCCACCCAAATTATATCTTTCACAGCTGTTCATGAATTTGCTTGTTGGAAAACAAGAGTTACCTGTGGTAAGACGAGCAGCCAATAAATTTGAAAAATAAATAAATCTATATATATAAAAGTGAAATAACCACTCACACATCATCACAAAATCTCCAGACCCGTAAAGCCTACAAACTTGAAATTTGCCACCTATGTTCCTCTTGGCTTCTAGGTGCTCACTAAGAAAGGATTTTTCGAAATGACCATCAGAGCATTAGTATTTTCTATATTATTATTAACACACTCTGATGCTAAGGAGTTCTACTCCCCCTCCCCACCTGAAAAGAAATCTGTTCCAAATGCAAAACACAAGCAGAGGAGAGGAGTTTCAGTTTCAGTTTTACTTTCACAGCAGCAAGCAGGGGATAAGATGGGGAGGCTTCTGTGGGGCAAGGCTGAGGGAAAGAAGGGGAGAGGATAGGGGAGGCTTTTGTGGGGCAAGGCTGAGGGAGAGAAGGGGAGAGGAGAGGCTGATTGTAACTACTCATTAATTTTCAAGCTGTGTCAATTTATCAAGCCCAATCACATAGCTTCGTAGCAGAGCACAGGTATTCCGCTTGTATAAATATATAAGTTTGCAATGGTGACCACAAGATTCCAGGATGCTGCAATCATCATAGATACATGCTGTTTGGCAAGTACTGTGCCTCAATTTTGATCACACGACTGTGGGGATGGGATGCTGCATGGTCATAACTTTAAGGACTGGTCATGTCATTTTTTTTCAGTGCCATGGTAAATTTGAACGATTGCTGAACAAATAGTTGTAAGTTGACTAACTGTCCTCGACTTACAACAGTGCATTTAGTGACAGTTCGAAGCTACAACATCACCGAAAAAAAGTGACTTATGACCATTTTTCACACTTACAACTCTTGCAGCATCTCCCTGGTCACGTGATCAAAACTTGGACGTTGGCAACTGGTTCATTTTTATGACGATTTCAGTGTCCTGGGATCATGTCTTCATCATTTGCAACCTTCTGACAGGCAAAGTTAATGGGGAAACATTCATTTAACAACCGTGTCACTATGGAGATTCACTTAACGGTGGCAAGACAGGTTTTAAAATGGACAAAGCTCAACAACTGTCTCACTTAATGACATAAATGTTGGGCTCAGTTGTGGTCATAAGTTGTGGATTGCCTGTAGTTACGAAAGTGCCACAAATAGGCTGCTACGTAGTTAGGGGGTCTGATTTTAGGTGGTGATCAGAGATCAGAGTGTTGAAATTTGGATCATCTGATGTCAGAAATCTGCCCGCTTGCCTGAGGCCAAATGGTGCAGTGTAGTAACAATGCAAGATGTCAGCAATTCTTCCCACTGAGAAAGGGCTGGCTGGGAAGCCTTTGTGATGGGCAGAAGTGGGGGGGGGTGCACAATTTGAATCTGGGGACTGATGTGTGGGGCCCTAAACAGCTTGAAGCTTCCAGTTGCTTCTCTCCGTTCTCATTAACACCTTTCCAAGAACAAGTAGCCAAACTAGTTTACCGAAGAGCCATATCCTTGAACCTCTGCCAGCCAACCTTCATCTTTTAAGTAATGATTTGAATGGCCTTCCAAGGAAATTGTTGGGCCTGCTGCTTGGAAGAGAGCCAAGGATTTCTTTGTTCCCATTTTGTCAGAAGAACCCAGCTCAGATGGTTGAACCGATACGGAAGCCCCTTTCAGATGCAGGTGTTAATTTAATTGGCACTGTGCAACCTTTTCAACCGCGGAGTCACCGTGTTCCCTATTTGACAGATGGGAAGAGAAATAATTCTTACATTCCAACAATGCTTGGAACTCAAAAGTTGGGTTAACAAAACACAATCTCTGTGCTTCCCTAAATAAATTCTACATAGGTAGTTCTTGATTAAGACTACAATTGAGCTGAACATTTCCAGCTGTCTTTGCTAAGCAAGACAGCTAATAAATTAGTTTTGCCCCATTTTGACGACTTTTCTTGCCATCGTTTTATGTGAACCACTGCTGTTTTCAAGTTAGTAACACGGATGTTGAGTGAATCTGGCTTCCTCATTCGATTTGACTTAGAATAATATTATTGTCACTTTGACTGTACACTAATCTGCATACATTAAAATGAAATTACGTTGTATATAGGTCTCAAAGGGTCTCCACCTCTAATATAAACATAAACATGACAAGATAAATAAATAAATAAATACAAAATCATGTACCCACATATATTTGCTTGTCAGAAGGCCACAAAAGGTGAACATGTCACCCCAGGTCACTGCAACCATCGTAAACATGAGTCAGTTGCCAAGTGTCTGAATTTTGATCACCATGGAAATACTGCAAGAGTTGTAACTCTGAAAAATGGTCTTCAGTCACTTTTTTCGGTGCTGTAGTGACTTTGGTCCCTAAAGGAATGGTTGTAAGTTGAGCTTAACACTACAACTAAAGCAAGGGCTGTTTTTTAAAAAAAATAGTTTTATTTATAATTTTTTCTTTAACATCCAAAAGTGCTTGATGAACAGTGTATTGTCTGGGTCAATATACTGTATTTTGCATACAATTCTGATAATGATACTACCATTTAAATATACATAATCATAATCTTTCAACTTCTAACAATTGTGTATACATAGTAATTATAATACGTTCTATTATATTTCAGTATATATAATACTATTTTCCCAATTTCTACGTTCTACTTCTTTTTTCTAACACTTAAAATAACCCTGTTTAAAAATATTCTATATCTATCCATCATCTCTTGCCCTTTTTTTTATTCTTTTCATTTTGTAAAAAAATTATTTATTTGTTTAAACATACAAGCAGAATTTCTCTTAATACTCCTTGTTAAAACTTTAAACTAAATAAACAAAACAAAACAATTTTAATGAACATTAAAAAATGAACATTAACAGCCACAAATTTGGTATTTACAAACTTTTTTTCTTTATAAGTTATTTACAAGACAACTGATTTTACATATTGAAAATGGTATAAAAAGAATGCATTTGCAGACAACCACATTTGAAAGGGTGGAAAGCAAGAGAAAGGGAATTATAGACAGTTTTTAGAACTACCATAAAGTTGGTTTAAAATGTTTGCTTTTTTAAAAGAATCAGATATAACTTGCATTGGCTTTTTTTCATTAACACAGTTTCAAATCTCTTGCCCTTTTTAGAATTTCAACTCTTATTAACTTTTTGGTGAATCTTTCATGCTTCTCCTCTGGTAACTCTTTTTAATATATTTATTTAATCTAAATATTTCATCTGCTACAACATCTCTTGCTGTTGAATCTCTACAGGACTTTTGGATAGGAAACTGTCACAGAATACCAGGGCAGGAGTTTAGATGGGGAATTGGAAGCAAAAAGCTGAGGAATTGGCAGTGTAGATCCCCTTCCATAAATTTGCCAAGAGAATTGTCTGGATTTGCTCATGAAGCTCATGATACTTTATGTTTAAACTTTAGAGTAAGAGGGGTTTTTTCTATATATTTTTAATCAGGGGTGTCAAACTCAACTTCATTGAGGGCCGTCACATCAGGGCTGTATTTGACCCGGGGGGGTGGGGGGGTAGCCGACTATTTGGGTGTGGCCAGCTTCACGCCACTTCTCAAACTGTTGACACATTTCCTCTTTGCAATGGGTAGATAGACTAGGCCGAAGCCAGGCTGGCCCGAAGTTTCCTCTTCGCAATGGGTAGACTAGGCCGAAGCCACACTGGCCGGCCTTTTACATTTTCCAGGACGGCCCCAAGAGCCGGATCCGACCCTAAAATAAAAAAAATCAGAATAGAAGCTGGAAGGGACCTTGGAGGTCTTCTAGTCCAGCCCCCTGCTCAAGCAGGAGATCCTATACCATTTCAGACAAATGAATCCATTTGACACCCCTGTTTTTAATGTTATTAGGATTGTTTAATCTGCATATTTTTACATTAAGTTTCTATGTCTTTTGTTATATCTTTGTGTAAGAGATTATTTTATTATATAGTTATACCTGTACTGAAAAAGGTTAGAAGTCAATCCTCTCCTCGTTTCCCCTCATTTCTCTAGTCCTCTCCTCTCCCCTCCTCTCCTTTTTTGTCATTTTCAACCTTTTTCTTTTTTGATTCCCTCCCCCCCAAATTTTCCCTTTTCATTATCTTGAAATATTTATGTATACATTAAAATTATACAGCAAAAAAGTAGTAATTTCTTACTCCTAAATTGAAACATAGAGCATTATGAGCAAATCCACCAATTCTCTTGGCAACCATTGCAAGCGTCCAAAGTTTTTAATTCAAATTTCCAGTTTACAAAAAAAAAAAAAACAGAACTATCTCAATTTGCTCGTGAAGTTGAGCCCAGGAACTGAGCTTGGCTCACTATGTTTCAAAGCTGCATTCTTTTTTGAACCACTGGAGGGTTCTTAGGGTGTGAGATTATGTGGAAAAGCTCTACCCATCTTTTTCCTGTGTTCTTCTCTCAGCTTGCAGATACAAGTGCATTAGGGAGCTTGCAAGAACTCTTGGATTCTCCCCAAAATCCTGACCAAAGAACTCTGGAGCTGCTCCATTGGATCCTGTCCTCTAAAGCCTGGTGCATCCACTCCACCAACAAAAACAAGGTGAGAATTTTCCTGGATGGAAGAAAGACCCAACTCAAAGAAGTCAAATCAAAGGCTGTTTTGAGAACTGAAAATTCATCTGGGAAGAGTTGAGTTGGTTGTTGTTTCTCACTATTTTATTTTTCAAAGAAACAAAAAACCCCACCCCCACCCCCAAAAAAGTATGTTGCCTTTAGGATTTAGTTAAAAATTAAGCCCTGGGAATGGACTGTAGCCATCAGCGCCAGTTGCAGAGACAATAGCAAAAAGATTTGCATAGTGTTGATTTTAAGAGGAGAGATTGGATGTCCTGTCAAGATTTGGGGGCAATGAAGAAAAATGCAATAGAATGGAAGGGCCAAAAGTGCTCCTTTGTAATGGTCCAGAAAGCCAGACTGTCAGTCTTTTCCCTTAGAATACAATATTTGGAGGGGGTTGATGGCTCAGCGGTTAAAGACCCTGAGTTTGTCAGCTGGGGAGCTGACAGCCTGGGTTCAAGACCCGAGCTCTGCAGAATGAAGAAACTCTTGGATTTCCTGCAAAAAACTGAGCTAGGATCGTCTTAAATAATTAGGCTTGAAACAAAATGCTTAGCTTGGCTTTGGATTTGTGTCCAACTACTATAGAAGGGCGACCTAGTGCTTAAGGTGCTGGGCTTGTCGACTGGAAGGTTGGCAGTTCGAGACCTGAGTACCGCATGATGGGTTGAGCCTCCCATTCTTGCCTCAGCTCCTAGCAGTTAGAAAGCATGCAAATGCGAGTAGATAAATTGGTACCATTTCGTTGGGAAGGTAAGAGTGTTCCATGCACCTTGGCCATATGACCACAGAAGTATCAATGCTGGCTCCCTTGACTAAGAAACAGAGATAAGCACCATGTCCTAGAATTGGACATGGCTGGACAGGGAAGGCTTTACCTTTACCTACAGTACAGGTAGTCCTCAACTTACGACCACAATTGTTATTTATATTAAGTTTTTCTCTTTGTAAGCTGCCTAGAGTCACAGAGTGAGATGGCAGCCATATAAATCTTCTAAATAAATGAATAAATAATTAAGTGAGAAATTTGTTAAGTGACTTTTGCCCCTTTTTATCACTTTTATTGCTATAGTTGTTAAGTGAATCCCTTTGTTAAATTAGTTGTTAAATTAGTCACACTGTTAAGTGAGTCTGGCTCCCACATTGTCTTTGCTTGTTAGAAGGTCACGAAAGGGGATCACATTACTCTGCAACTGTCATAAATATGAGTCGGTTGTTAAGCATCCGAATGTAAATCACGTGACCATGGAGATTCTGCAACGGTCATAAGAGTGAAAAATCATAAGTCGCTATTTTCAGTGTCACTAAACAAACTTGTAAGTCAAAGTCTATTTGGAGCAATGGAAAACCCAGTTGAAAAAAAAACACTGGGTGGAGCCAGCTCCAGAATGGTTCCTTTTTTTGAATCATTTAAACAAACTTACTTTAATTCCTTAGGGTAGCTTTTCCCCCACTCGGCTTGAGCTGTGACCAAATCACTTTGAATTTGCAAGTAGGCCTCATTAATGACAATAATTGGGACCACATTTTCTATCACCAAGTGATGCAGTTGAAAAGCCTTACTTAGCGGCAGCAAAACTTGCAGTCTCGGTTGCGGTTGTTCAGGTTAAGTGAGGACTTCCTTGCAACTTCCTGCTGGCTTCCCACGAGCAAAGTCAATGGGGAAGCCAGCTGAAAGTTGAAAGTCTGGGGTGGCTTGCAAGCAAGGTGTCAAGGAAACCAAAAAGGATGTCGCTGTCCTATTGTGACCATCAGTCCATGACATGTTCTTCTTGAGGGCCCCAATAACCATTGACACCCCCAAGTTTTCATGAGGGGGTACAGATCTGTGGCTCCTTCCTTCATGTGTAATCTGAAGACCCTGAAGCTCAAAGGGCTTAAAAGCAAGAGAGAGAGAGAGATCTTCCATGTAAATAACATTCCTATATTTTGATGTTCTTCAAGTATGAGAAAATCCAGGAATTGACGGGAGCTCCCAACATGCCTGTCCCGGTGCCAGACTTCCTGTTTGAAATCACCTACTGCAAAGAAATGAATGCCAAATTTGAGGATACTCAGGCGGGGAGAGACCTCATTTATGCCTTCCATGGGAGCCGCTTGGAGAACTTCCATTCCATCATGCACAACGGGTTGCAGTGCCATTTGAACAGGGTAAGGAATGAGCTTGGTTTGCATCCAAGGAGGAGACTAAGGAAGGTGGATCTCGCTCAGTCCAAAAGCTATAGCTCTAGAGCAATAGCCTGGTGAGAATCGAACTCCTGGCAATGAGCAGAGTCCGCCTGCAATACTGCATTCTAACCACTGCACCATCACTGGTTCTGGGGCAGCATCCTCTCTGCTATGTTAGCAAACCAGATGGCTCTTCGAAAAAATATAATGGTATGTGGGCATGACCTTGGGAAACGGGGAAGCTCCATAGAAGAATGGTCAGATAAAAGGCAGCTTAGCCCACAGAATGAATGGGCGGGGGGAGCATCGAGAAGAAACCCCCTCTACTTTCTTGGACTGTAAAGGGGACCAGGCTTGGGGTGGAGGAAGAGATGTACTTTCAGACTTGCAAGATTCTGTGAATGTAACCTTACAATAAAGTAGACTTAGTTCACCTTGGCATTGTCAACTGTCCAGCTGGTGAATCCAGAAAATGAAAATCCAGGGACATTATATTACCAAGAGTGTAAACTTTACTGAATAAATCCACATTGGCACAAAAAAAGAGAAACCAGTTCTGAGCTTCCCATGCAAACGCTTGCATAGTTCATTCCCCCTTTCTCCACGGGTCATTACGTCCACCAAATCACTTCTGTTCATTCATTTTGGTTTGGGAACCAGCCGGCCATGCTGTGGCATCTCTGGGTGTCCTTGAGGAGGAGGAGTTACGTCTCACCGGAACCAATGATGCTTAGAGGCCTTCCCCCCCACTCCTGCATTCCATTCCAAACCCACCCCCACCCACCAATTCTTTGTCAAGCTGTGAGGAAAGTGGAATATAGGTGAAGGTTTGAGTCAGTCTTGAGAAGCGTGCTTCCTTCTTGGACTACCTTGCAAGGTTGACAACCGCATACAGTCTAAGGCCCAAGAGCTGCTCTTTGTCTCTGCTGCAGAGACCTCCAGGAACTCCAGATGAGTGGGATGTTAAATTCTTGTCCTTACTATAAATAAGGTGGCCAACAGGCCAGCAATTTGGAATTTCCAGGATTCCCACACTTCCTGAAAAAGGGCCAAATATTTCTTTAAGATAGGTGGGCAATAGGCCCACCTGATAAGTGAAGTTCTTGTCTTTCCTTATATTGTCCTCCCTCCAGCAGTCTGCAATCTCCTGGATTTCCCCACTTGTTGAAAAGGGGGCAAATCTGAAAGAGATTTTTTTAAAAAAATGATTGTTTATATTTATCCCTTTGCTCTACAAAGGAAAATTTCAAGAGCAAAACCAAGGGAAAAAAATGGAAAAAGCTCTCTGAAATAAGGACTGTATAGGACTGTATGTCCTATATAATAAAGGACATACGGTCACCGGAATATAAAAAAATAATAATCCAGGAATAAAATAGGGAATGAGCCGTAGAATTCCTCTTTGGGCAAGGAGATAGCGATCTTTCTGGTATTTTTCAGACTTCCTTGTTTGGGGAAGGCACCTATCTGACCAGCGACTTAAGCCTGGCCCTCCTCTACAGCCCACACAGTCTAGGCTGGCAGCGAAGCTCGATGGGTCCGATTCTCAGCTGTGTCGCAGTTTGCGAGGTCATTGATCATCCCGATGTCAAGTGCCAAGTGAAGAAAAAAGGTGAGTCTTGGAAAGAAGGTTTTCTTCCCCCCCAACTTGGAGCCCTTGATTGTACATCTCGTCTTTTTTCAGTAACTAGTTCTTCAGCTACCATTCAAAGGTACAGTGGTGCTGAACAAAGGGACTTATTGGCCGGTCCTTCTGCTTAAAATGGTTAAAACATCCCAGGGGTCACTTGATTGTGACCTTCATTTCTGGCTTCCTACAAGCAAAGTCAATTGGGAAGCTGGCAGGAATGTGACATCTGTAGGAGATGACCAGGCTGAGCCCGAGGGAGGAATCAAATGTGTCACCAGTCTCAAGTCCCTTCGCGCCCATAAGAGATCTGAGTCTAGCCGGCCTTGAATTCCTTATCTACCGCCAATTTGCTTGGACTGTTAGTAGTTCAAATTCTTGTAGAGAGCTGAAGCTTGCCATAAACCTCTATATTCATTTGAACTGCCTGGATTTCCTGATTTGCTGTACTGGATAACTTCACGCTTAATGGAATTGGGACAACTGAGTTTTAGCACTCACTGCTGGCTGTTCAAGTCTTCCCATTCAAAATGGATGGCTTGCTTTCTCAGCCTCTTTGTCTGAGGAACCTGGCCTTCTTGTTACCCACTGAGAGCAAGTGACTCTTGCTACATGTAAACTTACAATTGCTTAACCAGAGCTCAGTTCTCCAAGGTCTCCCAAAGATCTTCAACCCCAAATCCTTTAATCCTTTAAGGATTTGCACAACTCATTGACAAGGAAGGTTGAGCTAGATTCCTGCTGCCTGCATAGACATATCCTTCCTTTCCCTTTCCCTTCCTTTCCTCTTTTCCTTCCTGCCTCCCTCCCTCCCCTCCCTTCCTATCCCATTCCCTCAGGTTTGTGTGCTGAGGGTATGTGTGGCAGGGACCCATCCTCCCTTTCCTTTTGCAATGCCCTGCTCAGCCACGGCCTCCTATTAAGCTCTTTGAAGCTCTTCAAAAGTTTTGCATCTTCTACCTAACTTGCAAGCCAGCCCTCAATCAAACCATTCTTTCAACACAAGAATCTCTGTTTCTTTTCTCCATTTCAAACAGAATCTTACACACATACGCCCTTTTTTTTTTTTTTTTTTGGCAGACTCTAAAGAAATTGACAGGAAGAGAGCCAGGGTGAAGAACAGCGAAGGGGGTGATGTGCCTCAGAAATATTTTGTCGTTACAAACAACCAGCTGATACGGGTGAAATATTTGCTAATATATTCGCAGAGGCAGCACCGAAGGTGAGTGTCCCTTCCTTCCCCCTTGTGGACTTCATTATCCTAGAAGTGAAGAACTTTCAGGGCATGTCTGAAGCTTCTCCTGTCATCATGGCTCAAAAATTCAGAAAAGCAGGAAAGAGCCACCATAAGAGCCACGGCAAAAGAGGCAGATAGCAATAGCACTTAAGACTTACATACCGCTTCCCAGTGCTTTACAGCCCTCTCTAGTGGTTTACAGAGTCAGCATATGGCCATCAAAAATCTGGGTCCTCATTTTACTGACCTCAGAAGGATGGAAGGCTGAGTCAACCTTGAGCCAGTCAGGATTGAACCCGTCAGTCGGCAGAATTAACCTGCAGTACCGTATTTAACAAGAGATGCAGTGGCTAAGACGCCGAGCTTGTCAATAGAAAGGTCGGCAGTTTGAATCCCTAGTGCCGCATAACAGGGTGAGCTCCCGTGACTTGTCCCAGCTTCTGCCAATCTAGCAGTTCAAAAGCACGTAAAAATGCAAATAGAAAAATAGGGACCACCTTTGGTGGGAAGTTCCGTGCGCTTTTGGTGTTTAGTCATGCCAGCCATATGACCACGGAGACGTCTTTGGACAGCGCTGGCTCTTTAGCTTTGAAACAGAGATGAGCACCGCCCCCTAGAGTTGGAAACGACTAGCACATATGTGCGAGGGGAACCTTTACCTTTACTGCATTTAACCACTGCCCACCACGGCTCCAATCAAGACATAAAGGCAGATGAAATCACAATGGTGGTAGAGTTGTCATGCAGCTGAAGAAAACTGGCTGCGGAACTAAGCTTTCAAGGAATCGGGCTTCCTCTCCCCATTTTAAATCAAGCCGCTAGTTCTTATGACTGCAACGATGAAAGCATGCCCCCAAGGCAATTGTAACATTCTGCACATGGCTAAAAGGGGACACAATGACAAAAGGTACATGGTAACATCAGGATACAGTTAGTCCTCGATTTACAGCAGTTTGTTTAGTGGCCAGAGTTTGAATGGCACTGAAAAAAGTGACTTACGACCGCTTTTCACAGCTACGACCATTGCAGCATCCCCATGGTCATGTGATCAAAAATCAGAGCCTTGGCAATCGAGTCATATTTGGGAAGGTTGCAGCCTCCCGGGGTCATGTGATCCCCTTTTGCTACCTTCTGACAAGCAAACTCTATGGGGAAGCCAGATTCACTTAGCAACCATGTTACTTAGCTGTGCTGATGCAGTGGCTAGAATGCAGTATTGCAGGCTAACTCAACTCTGCATTCTCACTCTCAGGAGTTTGATCCTGACTGGCTCAAGGTTGACTCAGCCTTCCATCCTTCCTAGGACTATAAAATGAGGACCTAGATTATTGGGGGCAATGTGCTCACTCTGTAAACCGCTTAGAGAGGGTTGTAAAACACTGTGAAGTTATAAGTGCTATTGCTATTACTCACTTAACAACTGCCGTGATTCACTGTGGCAAGAAAGGTTGTAAAATGGGGCAAAACTCACTTAACAGCTTTCTCGTTTAGCAACAGAAATGTTGGGCTCAATTGTGGTCATAAGTCAAGAACTACCTATATTTGATTAAACAATCAATCTCTTCCCTAAATTCTTGCCAAGTGGCCGATCGTAAGTCAAGGCTATCTGTACTCGCTTTTAGGTTTTAATTATCTTCTTTTATGATTAAACAAGCATTCTCTTCTCTAAATTCTTGCTAAGTGACCAGGCGTAAAATGAGGATTACTTGCAGTCACTTCTAGGTTTCCTGTTTGATTAAACAATCAATCTCCTCCTTAAATTCTTCCTTCTGCACCATTCTCTCCGCAACTAAAAGCCAGATGCATTAGAAACATGCGATAAAATGCTGATGCAGCTAAGTTAATAGTTAGTACTTAGAGGAGCCATGGTGGCACAATGGTTAAAATGCAGAATTGCAGGCTAACTCTGCAGGTTTGTTCAAAGAAAAACCTCTGATTTCAACTATATTAATTTTTAAACTCCTCCGGATCAGAGTCTGTATTTGGATCCAGAACTTTTCTAGCTTTTTGACATGTCCACCTAAGACAGGGGTCTCCAAACTTGGCAACTTTAAGACTTGTGGGTTTCAACTCCCAGAATTCCTCAGCCAGCAAAGCTGTTAATTCTATTTCTATTCTATTCTATCTTTTAGACTTTCCAGTCAATCGTGGCTCTCCAAACATCGTTTTGCGGTGATGATGAGTCTCTACTTGCTACTGCTGGTTATCATAGGGACTAGCAACTCGCCAGCCTTCCTCTACTACTGGAACCGGATTTTTGACTTCAAGCAATGACATTGGTGCATCTTGGGCTACTGGGGGGTGGGGTGGAGGAGGGAAAGGCTGATGATCTTCACCAAGTGCCTTAACAGGGAGGAATATTCAGCTTTTTGTGAATCCCATCATCCTGAAGAACAGAACAAAGTGGTGGAGGTTGTGATAGGAATGTTTTAGTGGCCTTAATTTTTCTGATTCCTTAGAGTTTCGGATAGATAGTTTCCGCAAAAAGACTCAGCTGAGGAGAGCTGCCCCTTCCTTGGCCTGCTAAGGTCCTCACAGCAAGGTCTCAAAAATGCCTTCAGAAGCGAAGGATGGCAGACCAGGGACTGTTAGCTTTTAAAGAAGACACTTCAACATAATTCTGATGTGCTGGTATACTTAGGCTTGTTCTGAACTCTGAGAAGGGTAATTTAGGTCTAATGTTCTACACACTATAGGAAACCCAACCCTTGTCTTAGCATAATGTCTGAATCAGGACAGCATGAAAATCTTTGTGACCAGACCAGTGAAATCAACTGTAGACTTCATTAAAAAAAAAAAAAGATTTTCCTAAGTTGTTTGTTTTTTAAAAGTTTTCCTTTGTTTATCTGAACCAGGAAGATAAAAAGAACAACAGAAAAAGAAAAAGCAGACCAGGAGCAAAACGATAAGACGTAAGGGCTTCTTAAATCTGTATATATGTAAATAAATAAATTTAACATAAAGTTGCAATAAAAGATGACTACAATCTATGTCTCTTAAGTAACTTTCATGACATAATTCTTTATGAAAGTGACCAGGGGTGGAAGATCATTAAAAAAAAATGTTCACCTCTAAAAGCTGCAAGGAGCATGATAGGGATGAAACAGCCCTGTTAAGGGGCAAGAAATTTCTTGTTCTCTTTTTCATTCACAGGGATGTAAAAAGGCGAAACGGATGCATTTAGACTACTGCAGTTATTTAACTATCCCTCCTCGTGCAGCATCTGCGTAAAGTGCTCTTTTGGTTATTGAATTAATCCATTTTCTGGGTTGTGCAAGATGTTGAACTTCTTTAATTTAGAAAAAGTAAAATTAACAAAAATGAAAATATAAACAATCTGGAAAAAGGAAAAAAATTCATACAAGAGATTCCAATGGGAAATATTAGGGTACAGTTACTTCAGCACTTGAATGTAGAATTAAATGTACACTACCGGTATAAATAAACAATGCTCCATCTAAAATAAGTAGGCACATTCAGTAGTCCAAATAAGCCCCCACAAAGCAAGAAAGCTTGAAGTTTTTGGAATGTCCTTTCCCAGACATGGTGATGAAACAATGCAAAATTCCTGTCAACCATCCAACTAGCGAACCCAAAATAAGTAAACACTTTCAGGAACTTTGAATTCCCAAAAGTAAAACTTTACTGCAGTGGTTCTCAACCTTCCTAATGTCGCGATCCTTTAATACAGTTCCTCTGTATTCCTCTGTCCTGTTGTGGTGATCCCCAACCATAAAATTATTCCTAAAACCATTGAAAATATGTGTTTTCCGATGGTCTTAGGCAACCCCTGTGAAAGGGTCATTCGACCCCCAAAGGGGTCGCGACCCACAGGTTGAGAACCACTGCTTTACTGGATACACCATTTGGGTACTGAAGAATCAAAACCAGCTCTGGTTTTCCCGCACAAATGCTTGCCTAGTAAAACAATAGCTTCCCTTTCTCCCCACCCCTGGGTGATCACATTGTCCAATTATAGACGTTCTTTTGTGGGAACAGTCCATCTCTTTCTCCAACACCTGCAGTGGTGACCTTGATGATTTCCAGGCTCTCACAATCTGTGCACAAATTCTCAACCTCCCCCCCCCAAAGTTCATTGGCAAATTGAATAGCAATAAGGCTTGAAAGAAACCAAGCGGTTCAATCTTGGCAGTTCCTTGTTGAATTTTGGAATATCTCCTGGGTGATGTTCTTGGCTGTAAAGTTGTTGTCTATGGTACAGGTTTGAGACTCTGTCACTTCCCTTGGCTTCCCATTTTTTCAATTAACCCTAAAACAAAGCCAAACAAGGGAATTTTCTTGCAGAATTTATTCCCCAATCTGCTTATTCTACCAATTTGGTGGAGAATGAGACTTGAAACAAGTTGAATCAAATAAATCCACAACAGATTAGCAATTATAATGACCAAAGGGCATTGTGACAAATAGTTTTGGGGAGGTGTTTTTTTGGGGGGGGGGATCCTGATCGTACACATCCCAGAACATCTATATGTTTACTTGGGAAATGAGATCCTGGATCAAGTAAGGTAGTTTTGATCCAGCAAAATCATATTTTCTTAACGTTAATTACAGAAATTTTACTTAGACCCAGGTAGGGTACAACCAGTTATGGTACATCCTAGGAAGATGAAATTGACTATTTGAATCGTAATTCCAGTCAAAATGAATTGATGCTTCAAATCAAAATTACAAGAGGGTTTCTCTTCGTAGGATTTGTTGAAACAGATCAGGGAGTTCTTTAATCTGGATTCCTGCACGGGGGTTGGTGGGATGGAGTTGATGGTCTTAGAGGGCTTCCTGTTCTACAATTTTGTGTTTACAAAAGCCAATCAGACATTAATCAACGGATTAATCAATAAGTGGAACAGCTTACTTCAAAAAGTTGTGGGTAGAGGGTTTTAAGAACAGACTGGACAAATGCTATAGGCTCTCATGCTTAAGCAGGGGGTTGGACTAGAAGACCTCCAAGATTCTTTCCAACTTTGTTATTCAGTAAAAATTGTTTTAATACCTGGGTAGGAATTATATATTATGAAAACAGTTCTTTGAGAGTTATTTGTTTATTTCCTTCCATAACCTTGGACTAGCTGTCCCACAAAGCCATAATGGTTAAAGTTTTTGAGAGGCATGAACCAAAACAAGAATTTAACAGCAGATGAATCAATACATGGCTGAAGGCATTGTGGAGGAAAAATATGAAGCATTCCCATGGGGAATTCAAAGGGTCTTGTCCTGGTGATGTGTTTTACACGCTTTGAAACAACTTTCCAAAAACAAGCCTAGGAGAATATTTGTTGACAGCATATATATTTTTTTTTCAAGACAGATGACTTCGTTGTAGAAGGCGATTGAACAAATAGAACATCTGCTTACAATGAAGAATCTCAGGGGATCTGCAAGGAGTTTTGGAACAGCCAGATCTGATAGAGAGAGAGAGAGAGAGAGAGACGCTAGATCATGACTTAAGAAGCTGGAAAGAGAAGAATGTTGTATGTATTCAACATCATTGTTCCTAGCATTTGTGTCTGGCTCAATTTATGGAGTGGGAAGTGAAAATAATATCCTGGAAGAAGGCAGTAGCCACACTGCTGCCAAGATTACTTGGTGGACAGTCCAGGGTAAAAATTGACTCGAAAGAAACTTGAGCTTTTCATAGATTTTAGCTTTTGTGGCCGCTAAAATCGATACCCAAATGAGCATAAACAAAAATTCTGAAGACCAGTAAAAGTAGCCATTTCTTGAAGGCAACCCATGAACAATGATAATTTAGATAAGTTTTTGTCAAGCTGCTTCTCTTCAGCTTGGCCAACAAAACCTAGAGATTCTATAACTCCGAAGCATTGTGTAGAACTTGGTTTGCTCCAGGAAAAGATCATTGTTTATTGAACTCTGCATAATAGCAATACAATACAAGTAGTCCTCATCTTACAACAGTTCATTTAGTGACCGTTTGAACTTACAAGGGCACTGAAAAAAGTGACAGCATTTTGCACGCTTACGACCTTTGCAGCATCCCCATGGTCACGTGATTTACATTCAGATGCTTGACAGCTGACTCGTATTTATGACAGTTGCAGTGTCCCAGGGTCACGGGATCCCCTTTTGCGACCTTCTGACAAGCAAAGTCAATGGGGAAGCCAGATTCACTTAACAACGGTGTTACTAATTTAACCAACTGCAAGGATGCAGTTAACAAATGTGGCAATACTCATTTAACAAAAATTTCTCACTTAACAACATAAATGTTGGGCTCAGTTGTGGTCATAAGTTGAAGACTACCTGTAGACTTTCCTCAGTAGCTGGTAAGTGTGGATATGAGGATTAACAGTTAGTCCAGCATATTGACATGATGAAATTAAATACGGTAGATTTCTTCTAATATATTGGGCAAGGTTTCTTCTATGAGCCTTGGTGGCACAGTGGCTAGAGTGCAGTATTGCAGGCTTACTGCTGCTGGCTGCCTGCAATTTTGCAGTTCAAATCCCACCAGGCTCAAGGTTGACTCAGCCGTCCATTCTTCTGAGGTGGGTATAATGAGGACCCAGCTTGTTGGGGGCAATAGGCTGACTCTGTAAACTGCTTAGAGAGGGCTGAAAAGCAGTGTAAAGCAGTATATAAGTCTAAGTACTATTGCTAAGTGCTATATATTGGTCAAGACATCTGCAGATATAGTTTGGTTACAATGCTGAAATCCTTCTAAAATTATAATATCCATGGTTTGATAGCAAAAAACAAAAAAACCATGGTTCCTAGAAGCACTGAAATCTACAAGATTAATATCAGGGTTATCTTCCTAAAAAGGCAGGATTATCCCTGCTGACATTTTGGTTTTGCCATTGCTATCACCTTAATGTTACATTTGTGTTCAATACGCAGACCTTAATGAACTTGTTCAACTGGGTATCTTTCAGTTTAGATCAGTGATTTATGTTTAATAAGCCAGGTGGACTTCTTGCACAGCGTGGAAGTAATCAGTCATCAACATCCACAATTAAATCTGTTTGTGTGCTAACTTTTGGTGGCATGAGGACACCACAGTTTTCCTGTGCGCTGCTCCCACTATCCATCAATGAGTTAAATGCTTCAGCCTTGGCAAACAACTGAGTGTAGCTTTAAGAAAAGAACTTCCCCTTTCCCGGCTGCCCCAGCCATACCCCCAATCACATGATACCCCAGTCTTTGCTCAGTTGTTGGCAAACGCTGAAGTGTTTTTGGGAGCTCCTGGATCCTAATGTATTTTTCCTCCTTTAAGTTGTACCTTCAGTTTTTTTCTCTTTCCCTTTCCTAGGGGCGATTAGGCTTTTGGTTTATTTTTGATTACCTTCCTTTTCTACCAGGTTTATTTTCATCTTTCGTTGCTGGGATCGGCGCTGTGAGAGCCGGCAGCGCTAATCAGCTGGGCGGGGGGGCCGCCCACGTTATCGCCCGGCGCCTTGCTTTTAAAAGGAGCAAGCCGGCTTCACCTCCCGGGTGCGGGACAGCCTCCGCAGCGCCGGAACACAGAGATCCCGGCCAGAGCACAAATCACCTGGATTAGGCAGAGAGCAGCTGCGGAAAGCCCGGCTAGCCTTGCCATCAGCCGCTACACTACAGAAAGGCTTAAAGCGACGGGTGCACAGTGCGGCATCTGGTAGGACCCTCGGGCCACCAGTACATCTTCTGGCACCCCAGCCTCGCGCCACGTGGCGCCCGCCATTTTGACGGACCCTTGGGCCGCCATCTTGGTGCAAGAGGCTTCTCCCTGACTGACCTTCCCCTGAGATTAGGGGCCAGCAGTTCCAGTCGTTGGGGTTGCCTTCATTCAGTGACCTCCGGGCTCTCAGCAACGGTTGTCAGCATCGCCAGCTCTTTACCATCGGGGCAAGCCATGTCTGACTCTTCCTCCTCATCGGAGCTGGAGCTGGAATTGAGCCTGCCTCGCAAGGGGGCCAAATCAGCCAAAAAGAGCAATAGCAAAAGGTCTGGGCATTCCAGCCGAAAGTCCAAGGCAAGCAAGGCGCAGCCTGTCCAGGATAGGGACGCACTAAGACGCCATAATGTGCTGGAAAGACAGTGTGCCAAGGCACAGAGGACACTGGCTACGTCCTTGGCCAGGGAAGCTACTTCCCCCGCACCAGGGGAGCCAGACTCTGCCATCGCAAGCCCGACGGAACTGGCTCAGACTCCAGTAACCCCGGCCCAGGCCCAGTCGGGCCCTCAGCCAAACGGCCCTCCCCTCTTGACCCCGGTCAGGCCTGAGCCCCTCTCGCCACCGGGGGCAGCACTCATCTCACCAGGAACACAGGGGGGCCCTTGCCGGCTACGCAACTGGACTTTCAAGCCATGTTTTCTTCGACTTTATCCTCGTTCTTGGCTGCAGCTGGCAGCAGGTGTGACAACCACCCCCACACCCGTTCCCGGGTCAAGGGATGCAGCATCAGCCCCAGCCCCAAAGTCAGCCTCATCAAGCATGAGAATCCTCTTCTGATGACTCGGATCAGGCTGATGAGGGCCCGGAGGACGTGCAGTTCTCAGAAGACGAGGGACTGATGCCAGACTCACCGGCCTTCACTGGCCTGTTCCGGCCGGCTTTCTTCAAGTCGCTGCTGCACAAAGCTCACCTCACGACCAACTTGGGAGTGCCCGGGGAGGTCAGGACATCATCGCCTGCTACAGTGGGGCCCCACAATGCCCTCTTCAAATCCTCTAAACCAGAAAAGGACTGTATACCTTGTCCACAATTGTTCACTGACGTGATCCAGAACTCCTGGGGACAACCAGCCTCCCTGACAACACCCAGTAGCTTGGACAAAAAACTGTATTGTTCAGCTCCTGAACTGGATGACCTACTAACGCTTCCAGCAGTTGACCAGCCAGTCACGTCTCTATCATCCGCCTCGGTCATCTCCACGGACGCGCTAGATGGCCTTAAGGCAGAGGACAAAAGGACGGAGTGGGCATTCCGCAAGGCACACCAGGAGGCAGCCTGGGCGATCAGAACTTCTACCGCCATGTCCTTCTTCAGCAGAGCGGCCCTCATCTGGCTCCGCCAGATGCAAGAGAGGCTTCCACCGGAGGACACCAGACTGCAGCAAGACATAAATAAAATATTTGCTGCTACCAAATACGCCTCCGATGCCTCCCTAAACTCGGCAAAGTTTGCATCAAGAACCTTAGCCTCCACCGTCACGGCGAGGAGACTTTTTTGGCTATGCCCCTGGAAGGCAGACCTCAAAGCTAAGTGGAAGCTGGCCGCAGCCCCGTACAAGGCACCTGATCTCTTTGGGGAGGCACTTGAACCAGTCCTAGTCGAAGACAAGGACAAAAGGAAAGTACTTCCTTCGTCTCACCGTCACCAGGAAAGGAGGTACTCACCTTACCCCCTACAACAGCCCTTTCGTACCGGCGCAGGGCCCAGGGGGTCCTTTCCACACCGCTCTAACTACCAAGGCAGCAACTGGGCCCAGGATAGACAACAGTTCCGCGACAGAGGCAGGAACCAGCAGTCCAAACGTCCATTCCGTGGAGCCGGTTCCAAAGCCACCAGGAGGGGGAAGTGACTCCCAAGCCGGGGGCCCCATTGGCGGAAGACTCCTCCTATTCCAATGTCAGTGGTCCCGGTCGACCTTGGACTCGTGGGTAAGGCGCACAACTTCATCTGGACTATCCATCGAATTTTCAGGTCCGCCACCTCATCGCTTCATGAGATGCCCAATCCCGCAGTCCAGCAAACTTCAGGGTCTAATGGCCCAGGAACTGACCCATCTCTTGGAGGTCAGAGCCATAGAACCGGTCCCACAGAATCACCAAGGTTCGGGGTTCTATTCCAGCCTCTTCCTGGTGCCAAAGAACTCCGGTGGTTGGAGGGGCATCCTCAACTTAAAACGTCTGAACCGGTCCGTTCAATACCGCAGGTTCAAGATGCACTCGCTCAAATCCATCTTGACAGGGGTGAGACAAGGAGACCTTCTCCAGTCAGTAGACCTTTGAGAGGCCTACCTACACGCATCCATCCACCCACGTTGGAAGGGGAGGAGGAACCATTGGAGCGCCCTCGAGTGTCTAGGTGCCCACGGTACAATGCCGAAGCAAGAGACCATCTTTCCTAGGAGGCAGGACAGATGAATAAGAGGAACCTTCTTCCTTGTCAGTGTCTGCTGAACCAGATCTTGGATGCTCTGGACTCTGTCCGGTGACAAGAAAACCTGTCCCTTGATCGAGTCTATCACTGCCCCCAAGTGGAGAATTTGAGTGGCTCTTCTCGAAATGGATTGTAAAGCCGTGGCTTTGGAATGTTTCCAGGACCAATTCCAAATCTCTGACCGCTTGGTTGTGTGATGAGAGGATCAGAATGTCGTCTAAGTAGCATGCATTAAAGGTTTCCTACATGGGGCCACGAACCTACGCCCTCCTACGGTGCACCGTTACCCGTCTTGGGATCTATCCCTGGTACTCCGGACAATGATGGGCCCTCCATTTGAGCCATTAGGATCTGTTGCCCTCAAGTACCTGGCCTTCAAGGTGACCTTTCTCCTGGCAATCACCTTGGCACGGAGGGTCTCAGAAATCGCTGCACTTTCCATCCATAAGGACCTTTGCATATTCCGAGATTCGTCGGTGATTCTACGCCTGGATCCCACCTTCATACCAAAGGTGAACACGTTTCACAGGGCCCAGGAACTCATCTTACTGGATTTCTGTCCATCGCCTCAGGACCACAGGGAGAAGCACACTCTTGGCACACTCTTGACGTCTGGCGAGCGTTACGACTGTATATACGCAGGACTGCAAGCTTTCGCCACACAGAAGCCCTCCTGGTGTCGTTCAACCCGGCTTCCATGGGCCAGAAGGTCTCGGCTTCCACGGTCAGCAGATGGATCAAGGCCTGCATTGAGCTAGCGTATGAACTGAACTCCAGACCACTACTTGGCAAGATCCTACCCCACTCTACACATAGCGCAGCCTGGGCTACTCAAGCATCCGTAGCAGACATTTGCAGAGTGGCGACCTGGTCTTCGCTGTCCCCGTTCATTCGCCACTACAGGATCGACGCCTTTGACTCAGCCGAGGCGTCCTTTGGCCGCAGGGTACTCCAACGAGTCGTGGTGGATGAGGACACGTTCAGGTAAAACAACGTCCGTTCTCAGGACAGACAGAACTGTTATGCAAATCCAGGCCACATACCTTGCAATGAAGGAAGGAAAACAAAGAGGAAAAGAAAAGGAGGGAGAGAGGAAGGAAGGAAATGGGGATGAGTGAGAAGAGGGAAGGAAGGAAGGAAATGGGGCTGAGCGAGTGAGGAGGGAAGGAAGGAAGGAAGGAAGGAAGGAAGGAAGGAAGGAAGGAAGGAAGGAAAAGACTATTTTGATCACTTTTAAAAAAATAATGAAAACAAGAATCTACTTCCTTTGATATGAAAACATTATCCCCAGAGGTTGATAAAGATCTGTGACATTTTACATACACCCCTTGCTTTCTTTTCCTGAAGTGCTGTTAACTGCTGATTTCTTACTTCAAATTGAATGGATTTTATTGTTTGTTTCTGGGTGGAAACTTTTTTCCTTCTTTAGGCTTACCAAGCCAAGCCAAGCCCTGCAAACAAAGACTGTTGTGTTAGTCTCATCTGAACTTCTTCATTCTTGCCTGAGCAGTTGCAAGGAGAACACATCCTTTTATTTACAATGGAGAGGCATCCAATTCCCTGTTGAAAGAACAGATGGCACACAAGTCATTTTAATTTGGGAAAATTCCTCCTCTAATCTGCCAGAAAGAAATAGTGATTAAATAAACACTCAACGGTCCCTGGCACTTTCCAAGTTTCATTTGAAAATGTGAGTGAAATGTGAAATCAGTCATTTGTTTATTCCCCAAAGGGCCCTCTCTGAACCCCATTGTCTGATTTCAGCTTCCGTGCCTTCCAGCAACACAGCAGAGGTCCCAGGCAAGGTCAGTGCCCAAAGGCAGTCTAGAAGATCGTTTTCCCCTGCCTGTTGATCTTTCAAATAATTGTTCTCTTCCCCACCTTCTTGGAGCCAAGAGAAATGAATGTAACGAATTAGGGAAATCTCTTTTGAGGCTCAAATAACTTCATTCTACATGATGGGGAGAGATGGTGGTGATAAGTGAAATAATGACTTAGTTAACTGGATTTAATTTTCTCACCGCAGACTATTTCTCTCCATCTCAATCTGCTGTTCCTGACAAAATTCTCTTCCAAGGACAATTCAGGCCATAATTCTGGATCCATCAAATGAATCCACCGGCTTTCTTCAGCCTTGACACATTTTCGTACCCATTTGGATCGTTATGGATGATTGTTGGATCCTTATCCTACGGTTGTACTCTAAAAAGGAGCTGGAGACTCACAGAGAATTACAGTCCCATCACAGAGTGAGCCAGAAGAGTCAATTGCTTTGAACTCCAACCTATGTCCCCTGAGCATTGAAAGGCTACCCATCCTAAAGATAGGATTTCTCCTCCTCTCTTCTACAACCCAATGTCTGGCTCTTAAGATAGCAATGATGGAACCAGGAGCAAAAAAAGCAAGAAGAAAAAAAGAAAAGCCTCCCTTCCCAGGCTCACTTTGCTAACCATCCTGTACAATTTATGTAATGTCTTGGCATTAAATTGAGAAAATTTGGAGGCAAATATATAGGCCAAGAGATTTTCAGATATAGTTTGGTTACAATGCTGAAATCCTTCTAAAATTATAATATCCATGGTTTGATAGCAAAAAAAAAAAAAAAAATCAAGGTTCCTAGGAGCACTGACATCTACAAGATGAATATCAGGCAATGGTTCCTACAAAGGCAGGATTATCCCTGCTGACATTTTGGTTCTGTCATTGCGCTCACCTTGATGTTACATTTGAGTTCAATGCACAGGCCCTAATGAATGTAGTCAGTGTGACTTTTTAAACATTCTTCAATGTGGTCTCCTATCTTGAGCAGGCAACCCCAAGTTTCTTCCAATTGATCCTCGTCAGTGATACTTGATGGACTATCCAAGTTTTTCAGGGCATTCTTAATGGGCCTCATCAGCTCTTTGCATTTGGAGGAAAGAAAAAGCAAAGCTCCGCATTAGTCGCACATTAGAAGTAAGGCAGAGGAAAGGGAAACCCCGATTGAGCCCATTTGAATTTGGGGGAAGGGATCTGCTATGGGCACCCTCTCAAAATGGCAGACACAGGATTCTTCAAAGAAACATCTGGAGCCACATAGTATCAAGCCCCAGTTTGCTGGGCAAGACCAAGGAAGCGAAAGCTATCCAAATTTCAGGATGGGATTTAACGCTCATCTGGCATAGCCATAAAATCTTGGAGATCGTGCAAGAGATCTCCCATCTTTCTTGAGGTGAAGGAATGATAATTTTCTTTTGATCCAGAGTGTGACAGTAGCAGTGTCCTGTGGTCATACAATCCCCTTTTGCGACCTTCTGTCAAAGGGGAAGCCAGATTCACTTAACAACCAGGTTATTAATTTAACAACTGCAATTACTCACTTAACAACGGTAGTAAGAAAGGTCGTAAAATGGGGGCAAAACTCACCTAATTTCCCATTTAACAAACAAGAGATTTCCCATCTTTCTTTAGGTGAATTCATTAATGATATTTTTGTTTTGATCCAGAGTAACTGATTATTTTATTATATAGGTAGCCCTCAACTTACAACAGCTCATTTAGCGACCATTCGAAACTACAAGACTCATAGTGTTGAAAGTTGCCTGGTCCAATTCATCCTCTTTGATGGGCACAGGCTGACTTCCTGCGGTAGGGATCCCAGGCTGTTGAAAGACAAGAGCAGAGAGCATCCCTCATGAAACAGCCCAGCATGGGAAGCCACAGATGCGTCAATAAGGAAATGGAAGCAGATGGACAAATTGCTGTTGCCAAAGTCAGCTATTGCAATAGCAGAGACAAATGGTTGATAGTCAGTGGGGCAAGTCAAACAATTGTTAATAATTGTAAATTGTTTTACAGGATGGATGCAGCTGCTGGAGATGCAGTAGCCTTCACAAATGGCCAGAAGGCAAAAGTTGGAAGAGGCAGTATGCAAATTCCATATCTGGAAAAGAGGTTCAATGATATATTATGCGTGCCTGAAATGGAGCATAATTTGCTGAGTGTCTCTAGTTTAGACAAGCAAGGATTTGAGACTACATTTGCAAATGGGAGGTGTCTCATAAAGCAAAACAGGAATGTATATGCACAGGATAAAGCAGGATAATTTTTATGTGTTGCAGGGACAAAAGATTCAATGTACCCTAACATTTGGAAATGTGGCACAGCATGATTCATGTGTTCATCTCTTGCACAGAAAGTTTGGCCATGCCAGCTTCAGAGTTTTGCAAAAGATGGACCAGTTTGGAGAAGGATTGAAGTTAAAGAGATGTAAAACTGCAATATGTAAGTCATCAAAGTCCAAGGCATTCCCAGTGAGCAAAAGTAGCACAAGGAAGACAACAAGAGTTCTAGAACTAATACATGCAGATTTGGTTGGGCCAATGCAAGCCAGTTTGGGAGGAACAAAGTATGTGCTGGTCATTGTAGATGACTACAGCAGGTTTGGTTTCTGCTATTTACTAAAGAGTAAAACAGAGGTACTACAGAAATGTAAGCAATGGGTAAGCTTTGTAGAAAGGAGATATGAACAACAGGTATGTCAGCTGCAGACTGACAGAGGTTCAGAATTCAAGTCAGCAAATTTTCAACTGGTTGGGACAGTTAGGAATAACACAGATGCACGAATCCATACACAGCAGGTGAGAATGGTGTAGTTGAGAGATGGAATGGAGTCTTACAAACCATGAAGGATTCACTGCTGGAGGATTCTGGTCTGAGCAGGTCATTGGGGTGAAGCTATGTTGATTGCTAATTATTTAATTAATAGACTGGAGTTCATCAATTAATGATACTCCCATGTGCTCTGTGTACATAAAAAGATAAGATACATTTGTCAGGAATCATAAGGTACAACACTTAATGATAGTCATAGGGTGCAAATAAGCAATCAAATCATACTAGGAAACAATATCAATGTAAATCATAAGGATACAAGCGACAAAGTTACAGTCATGCAGTCATAAATTCATTTTTTCAGTCTGTTATAATTTCAATTATGGGTGGAGAAGGAATAAACATAAAAGAGAGGGGCTTGTTTAGAATCATCCAGCTGGCTTTGTGCCCAAGGCAGGACTAGAACTCACAATCTCCCGGTTTCTAGCCTGGTGCCTTAACTAGGAGATCAAACCTACTCTGTGTTTTATGCATAAAATCAATGCAGAAAAACTTGCTTGTCAAGTGGCAGAACCAGTAATCCCCACATCTGATGCCACCGCTTCCTAAAGAAGTTCTTTTTGCAAGCGTTATAATTTGGGGTTGCATCTGTAAAACATTGACGTGTGTGAAATTCCTTGTACCTTGTCGGTGAGTTTCAGTTCTGGGTCTGACTTGATGAGCTCCCAGTTCTCACATCTGTGCTTATAAATCCCACACAGCAAGAAAGAGTCTGGTTGTCTGCGGTAATTGCGTTCACTGTTGTACTGATGATAGGTGAGTTTATGAGAAAGGTTGCTGGGCTGGGAGTTTCCTGAGTTTCCTGAGCTCTGATACCTTTCTCTCTGCGCCTGGCGATCCGTGTACCAGTGATCCCTCTGCCGAGGGGGGAAGGAAGGGACGGAGAGAGAGAGAGAGATTGAAGATTTGGTGGGCAGGCAAATCACCTTCTCCATGCTTCCTGATCCACTTGACCTTTCGAAGCATCTTCGATGTGGTCCCCTATGTTTAGGAGGCAATCCCGAGTTTCCTCCAGCTGGTTCTCATCGGTCATGGATTCAGGGTTATCCAGGTGCTTCAAGGACTTCTTGACGGGCCCCATCAGCTCTTTGCACTTGGAAGAGAGAAAAAG